CCACCATGTCTCCATGTACATGTCCACGGTCACGTCAGCAGTTTGTATAGTACCGGAAGGAGTTCCCACGACGTCTCCAAAGGCCTAGAGGGGACGTCTTTGCAGCAATTCTTTTCACCCTGCACATTCATTCCGCCGACACGACAGCGTTTACGGGGCCGTTCCAGGTGCAAAAGGTCCACGTCAGCAGTTCTCAACTATTTCGCGTACGGGATAGTCGCCGCGACAGCGTTTAAGGGGTCGTTCCAGGTGCAAAAGGCATCCATCAATGGCACTTTGCAGTACGGGGTACGGAAAGGGGCCTCCTCGTTCGACTTCGTCGACTTCTGCAGTTCTCCTTCCCGTCAGGGGTACCGAAAGGGGCCTCCTCGCAGTTGTCCTTGCCATCAGGTCCACGTCATGCAGTTCTCAACTATTTCGCGTACGGGATAGTCGTCTTTGTTGTACGCGACATCGGCGTTTACCGAGTGTCATTGGCACAAAGCAGACCGTTGACGGGGTCACGTGTCAAAAAAGTATCAACAATGTGTCGACTACGTGTCGACCACGTGTATAGCGGTACACTCAGCGGTACACTAATTCTCGTGCCATTCTCGTGTCACAAAACTGGAACATCGAGTACCAGTATGGAAAGGCTTCAGACAGGAAGCCTTTCCAATGAATCGAAGGAAACTGGTCAACTCAGAGATCACCCGTCATTGAGTATTCCGTAAAAGGAGGCCTCGACAGCAGAAAAGCTAAATTTAGAAAAGAGGTCCTGTCAGCTTTTCCATTATTTATTCTATTCCACCTAAAATCAGCACACTTTTTCGTAAATGAAAGAGTCAACACAAGAAAATGAATCAAAGGGAACTGGTCAACTCACCTGTCATTAGTAAGTAATATTCCGTGAAAGGAGGTCTCAGCAGAGCCGAAGCGAAATAAGCCAGGAGACGAAATATCCGAAACAGCTCATGCAAGAAGCAGTTCCAAAGAAGGAAGTTCCTCGCGCATGCACATCCGAAAACGGACTGCTCTGCATGCAACACAATGTCTGCCGTGCACGTGCACAGCACGCGGCTAGCACGCTTTGGTAGATCTTTTTTTTTATTAGGGCTTGAAAGTGATGACGTCAAAAACGGCCAGGGAGTAGTAAGTTGACATCAGATTTCTATTTTTGGATCCACTCAGGTGTGACTTTGCTATTGCCTCAGTATGTGGGTGAATAGCAACTCACTCATGTCGTATGCAGGGGAGACTTTTACTTCGCCACCAGTTGTAACCCCGCCCCCAGTAGCCAAATCAGTCAGTTCACTGGTTACACCACCTTGCTGTGAATAAGACGGCTTGAAATGTGCTTGGATCCATACAAAAACTGGATCCAAGTGGATCCAATTTTTGAATTTTTGAAATTGTTGCTATGCTGTGACGTAGCACTTTCAAGCCCTCTACCGAGCACCTTACGTAGATACTTACGTAGCCTAAGTGAAATACCGAGCACCTTACGTAGAAACTTACGTAGCATAGCGATGTCGTTTTTCTGCCATGTGAACACAATAATAGAAAAGCTGACAGGATCGCTTTTCTAAATGTAAACGCGCCATTCATTTTGTGCACAAGTCCATCTCTTCCATTACGGACACTACGGCTTCCATTATCATCCTCGGTGACTTTAATGCTCGGCACAACGAATGGTATAGGCAGGACCCGAACACTGCTGCTGGAAAATGCCTTGTCGAACTGCTGGATGATACTGGTTTTACACAACTTGTACGCGACCGCCCAACACGTTTCTCCGCCGCAGGTCAGAGCTCTTCTCTCCTGGACCTTGTTCTCTGTAACCAACCATTCCTCATCCACAACCTCACCACACTTCCCCCTGTTTCTGATCACTGTCCTGTGGTATTTGATCTCGCAATACAGACTCGTTCCCAGCAACCAGTGCACTCTGATTTGCTCGTGAACAACTATGCAGCCACAGACTGGCCCGCACTTAATAACCACCTTTGGAGCCTCCCTCTTCTCGCTGCTGTACAAGAAGCCAGTAGTACAGATGAAGCATGGGTCTCCTGGCGAACACTAGTTGACACAGCCATATTATCTTTTGTTCCGAAGGTTCGAAAACGAACAAATCGTTATGGAAAGCCTTGGTTCACCTCTGTGCACCATCGCCTCCGTCAACGTCGAGATCGACTATTTGCTGCTGCAAAACGTGTCAATACCCCTGAGTGCTGGGCTGTTTATCGCATTTCAAGGAACTGCCTCGTCGCTGCCATCCGTAAAGCTAAACGTCACTTCTACGACCAGATGTCAGAAGGCCTTCATGCAGATCGAGGATCTTATGACTGGTGGAAGAGAGTCAAGAAAATGTGCCACATCAATTGTCCTCACACCGCTATACCTGATATACAAGGAGTCGATACCTTAGCGGTTACCGACCCTGAGAAAGCGAACATCTTCTGTCAACAGTTCGCCAAGAATAGTCAAGCTACACCGTCGTCGGATGCAGATCATCGTGATCTCGCCATGCCTTCTTCTTCGGAAACATTTGCCATCCGCCCTCTGTCTATCGTAGAAGTATTCAAGGCACTGTCGACCCTAAGTGTGCGAAAGTCTACAGCTGGCAGTCTTCCTAACAGGATCCTACGAGAGACAGCAGAAGTGCTCGCCCAATCCCTCACTGCTCTCTTTAACCGCTGCACCACTTACCGATCCCAACCCCTTGAGTGGAAAGTTGCAATCGTTACCCCAATTTACAAGGGTAAGGGAAGTCGCAATGACCCTGCTAACTACCGGCCGATATCTCTGCTGAATGGTGTGGCAAAATGCTACGAAGCGTTAATCAGCCGCCAGGTGTACGCGTTTGTAGCGAAACACAAACTACTGTCGCCGAAACAGTTCGGGTTTCGCCACCACCGAAGCACGGTTGACCAACTTGTGCATATCACATCAACTGTCAGCTCTGCATTTGATAACCGGGCCCAGTGTGATGCCGTCTTTCTCGATTTCTCGAAGGCATTTGATCGTACCAGCCATCGCCTCCTAGCCTCATGTCTGTCCGGTTGGTGTGCACCTGACTCATTCGCGTGGCTGATGGACTTCCTGGAAGGCCGATCGATGTCTGTGCGGGTCGGAACCTCCTTATCAACCCATATGTCGCTCACCGCTGGTGTGCCACAAGGCTCCCATCTAGGCCCTCTATTATTCAACCTTTCTATCAACTCCCTTCCCAGCATTCCCCAATCCAGCGATCTGACTCTGTTTGCGGATGATTCCAACATGGTCTGCGTTTCTCCGCCTACTGTCGTACCCGCCGCGCACACTGCCTCCCTGCAACTAGACCTTGATAGATGTGTGAACTGGTCCCATAAAGCTAAAGCAGTTTTCAATGCTAACAAATGTGTCCATGTTCCCTTTTGCAGACCTAAATCAAACCCACCTGATCCCAGGACCGTCACCATGGCCGGTACGTTACTGACCCAGCCCTCTTCCCACCGCCATCTGGGCATCATCCTCACTCCTTCACTCAATCTGTCCCCCCATATTCAACACATTACCAGCAAATTTCGAGGTCGGGTTTTTCTTTTAAACCACATGTCCAACTTCCTTCCTTTTCCTGCTGTGAATCTTTTGTATAAATGTTATGTTCGTCCCCTCCTTGAATATGCTGTTCCCGTTTGGATGTTTTCCGTTTCAGCCACCATGTCCACAACCCTTGATAAACTGCAGGCTACTGCTGCTAGAGCATACTTAAATAGTAAACTCAAGCGTCGGCCTGACTGGACGACTTCCAAAGAAGACCTCAATGTTCTGTCCTCTTGGGAATCGTTAGCATGGCGACGGCAGATTCTTGGCCTTGTCTATTTCCACCATGTATTCTCCCAATTCCCCTCCTTGTTGTCTCACTTTCAGCTACCCTCTTCCCAAAGCAGTCGTCACCCTTCATCCATAATTCTTCCTAAAGCTGGCACCTTCTTCCGTAAATCAACCCTTTTTTCTTTGAGTGTTGCCTGGAATAAACTTCCTGAAGATATTCGTTCACTCTCTACAACAGCGAAATTTAGTATTGCTGTTCGTCGGTATCATTCGCAATCTATGTTTTCTTTGAAAGGTATTCCTGACTTTTGTGTCTAGGCTAACCACATCTATGATAGTTTCAATAGTTTGTGTATATGTCAGTTATAGTAGTCCGCAATGCTGCTTTTCTAATTCTCATTATGATTAGCATGCAATGTACTACCCGAAGTACTGAATTTACTTCTTCTGTACTCTATATTCTAATGTATCTTCTACCTCTTCTCCCTTACGAACATACTTTCTCATTTTCCATACTTACTTAGGAGACTCCCTTCGATAGGCATCTATTTGCCTCTGGAGGATCCCTGAAATAAAAATCAATCAAAATCAATCACATGGCGGGTTGAAATCTGACCCGGGTCGAACTCAACCCGGGTTGAAACGCCTCATGTAAACACAGCCCAAGAGAAATTGTACAGTAGCACTGCAAGGAAAGCTGCCTCACCAACAGGCACACACACCAGCACGGACGGTAGTACACGTACTACTACAAGAAGTAGTACCCCTACGGCCAGACCTGACCTGCCCGCCAAGCCTCAAACGCAAGATACAAGCACTAGCAACAATGGGTGGCAAAACCCACACCGCCGCCGCCGCACTGAGGTTGCACACTGACCAGGCTGAATCTGAACAATGAGTAAACCAACACCTCAACTATTTACTTGACCCTAACGCAACGCCCTCGGTTTTTCGGCTCTACACAATCACAACGTCATATACCGGTACAATCAAGAGTACAGAGACATGAGACATGACTGTACTCTTGGAACAATGCATAAGGTTGCATGCCGGCATTATTCCTGCACCCCCTACCTAGAAGTACTTTTCAGCCAAAGTAGCCCCTTTTGACCTTTCGCCTTCCACGCTCTTTCCCGATTCGTAGTACGTGTACTTTCGCTGTCTGCATATAAAAGCTGCCGGGTTATCGGAGTCTGTTCACATTATTATTTCGTGCTTTCCTTCCTTAGTTTCTTACTCAATGCTGCCGATACAGTCCAGTAACGTTACATGTCCCGTTGTCCTATCTGTGAGCCAGGTGAGTAAGCCGTCATGTAAACACAATGGCGACGCATTTTGTTCAGGAAATTGTGTTTAGAAGCAAATGCAGGTCTTTTGTAACTTCTCCCTGGAATAATCATCTCTCTTTGTTTCGGTGTCCCTGAGTCTTTCTGCTCCTGCTTGTCTAGCATTCTTGCACCGGAGAAATTTCAATACAATACATCTATTCCTTGCCCTATTCGTGTTGTGCCTCCTTGATCGCTCGGCTTCCCACTACATTAGTTATCGTGAGTTGTGCAGTGACTGGGTACACTGCAATTGTGCTTCTGGCTCGTCGTAGATCTACATGTCAAGCGTATCGCTCCAAGCATTTGCGAAGTAAGCCAAGCAGACCACACAAGGCAACGGACAAGGTAGAAAAGAACAAGAAGACCAAGAACCCCGGTGAATCTAATCCTTACCAGGTAAGCCCATCAGATATCTACTCAAACTCACCATAATGAACACCAATACCTTTATCATCCCTGGATTCCTTGACCATAATACTACTAGTACTGCGCCCCACCCCTACCGTTTCTTGTTCCATTCACAATGTCACGAACATCAGTCGTGATCATTTTATGTGCCCCTTTTTTGGCACCAAGCGATTCCCTTTTGTATGCACCCAGCCATTTCTGGCTGTTCTGCAGCTAGCAGTGTGCTCTACTTGCTCTCTGTTGTATGCATCTACCCGTTTCTGGCTGCCGTGCATGTCGCGGTGTGCTCCCCTTTCTGCGCATGTAACCATTTCTGGCTACCATGCATGTCGCGGTGTGCTCCCCTTTCTGAGCATGTATCCGTTTCTGGCTGCTACAGCTCGCGTTGCGCTTCCCTTGCTCTCCTATGTGTACACACGTCCATTTCTGGCTGTAGCCGCATGCCTATTTCTGCCTTCGCGCTGACCCCTGAGGAATCGCTTGAGCCTAGTATGGATCCAGTGATCCGAATGTAGCGTCGTTCCCAGCAAGAACTTGCCGACTTTATATTTTGTTGCTCTACAAGCAGCTTTTCGCGAGTCTTCTTCGTGTCTCTTCTTAGAGTAGAGACCAGTTTTTTCTGCTCTAATCAGAAGCTCAGAGCTACATCAATAGCAATAATAAAACCTTATAAAAGACCAAAAAAAACTCTTGTCGATGCGATGACAACGACGACACACAATCTCTTCATATTTGAGTTTCAAAGTTTGCAGCTTGTTCATCAAAATGGACGAGATTGCACAGATCGCCACTTGGGCAAATCTCCTCGAGCCAGATTCCCTATACCAACTCCTCGACTACTCTCTAAATAGGTACGATCGGCAGCAGGCGATGACATATGCCTACTTGGCATGTCAAAGGCTTTTGAAAAAGTCAGTCACCCTACGCTGCTGGAGTACCTGCTCGACATTGGCGGTTCTGGAACGGAATTTAAAATTTGCTTTGCCAACTACAGTATCTCTGCCATCGAACCCAGAAAATGCGCATTGCAACCAAGGACGGACCCTGTTTTTTTTCTACTTCACTATATATTTTATTACTTTACTTGGGCATTCCCAACAGACCCTAAGGTCTTCCTACAGGGTGCCCAAGATGAATGAATGTGTTAAGTTCCTGGCGAAATGAATAATTATTGGAGATAGGATTTGTGCGAAGGGATTCCGTCGGGAAGCGCATTGAAGCGGTCAGCACCAAGGAATGAAATAGATTTGTATCCAGCTTGAGTTTTCACAATGGGTAAAGAAAGGGAATTATTGCCTTTGCCACGGGTGACTCTATCTGTGTGAGCGAAGTCACCGCGAAGGGAGAACATGTCAGAGAGGAGTAAACTGCAGATGCCAGGGAGATTTTTGTCCCACGTACTACGTATGTGTTTTACGTGTGTGTATCACGTGATACCGACCTGTGGGGATAGGAGAAGTCCTGCGGCGCATCATTGGTAAATCCATGAAGACACTCCTCATGGATGACATCACTACCGCTGCTGGGGCGTCCCAACTTTGTGCAGGACACCCGCAGGAAGTGAAGCGGCTATCCATGCCCTGAGACAAGATTTTACCTCTTTCTTATCTAGCCGCCGACCGCTGGAACTCAGTTCCGGCATCGGTCCGCCTTGCTGCTTCACCAAGCCAATTTCGTATCGCAATCCTAGATTGGCTAGGGTACCCCGTAAGGAGACCATAGGTCTGTGGGGACTACCCTAGAGAAATATGAATAAATACTTTAGCACTTCCTTTTTTTTGTTCACACTTTTAATTATGCTGTTATAAAAGGTTCTATTTTGTACACAGTACCCTCAATTCCGATACTATTCACTGATAGGCGGAACACGAAAATCGATTTTGAATAACATAAAAATCCTTAAAAATTTCCATGAACTCGTTATTGTCTGGCCATGTCTGCATCGATTATACTCTTAATTGCACTAATAAAATACTTTAGTATATATACTATACGTGCCATGAAAAAAAATAATAATAATGATGACAACAAACAGGAAGAAGAAGCACAATCAACAAGAGAACCGACAAGTTAGAGAGCTCTGCATAACGCAAACAGCAAAGGCGATACCAACCACGAGAGTGCTAAACTTCTATGAACAGGAGCGTAATACTCAATCCAGGGACATAACTGCTTCGTCATTCGTAGACTCATCAGCGCAGCAAAGAGAAAATGAGGCCGGACCTGATTTGAATTGAAAATACAATTTTCAAAGCCAGATTTAAACCAGGTCCGAACGTACCTTACCAGAGTGCTCAAACTGAAAAGTCAGTGAGCTATGCATAACGCAAACAGCAAAGGCACTACCTGCATGAGGGTGGTCAACTACTAAAAGAGCAGGAGTGAAATCCTTATTTGGTGGAGAGAACTGTTTCGCTCTTTGTGGACTAATCAGTGCAGCAGAAAGAATCTTCTATCTTCTAAGGCGGCAGAAAAAGATACAAACATGACTGGGACGATTAAATATCTGCCTATAAATATCACGATCATTAGCAGCAGCAAGAGAGAGAGAGAGAGAGACAGAGAGGGAGAGAGACAGAGAAAAACAGAGAGAGAGACAGAGAGAGACAGAGAGAGAGAGAGAGAGAGAGAGAGAGAGAGAGAGAGAGAGAGAGTGAGAGAGTGAGAGAGAGAGAGAGAGAGAGAGAGAGAGAGAGAGAGAGAGAGGTGTCTGTATGATTGATGAGTCCAGTTTTGTTTTGTAATTTTAGACCATATACGATGAACTCGTATGGTGAGCCAAGGTTCAATTTATAGAAAGGAAAAGAAAAGTGGACATAATAGCATAACGTTTAGTTCCTTCGTCCTTTTTCTTTTCTGTACATTTATGATGAGGACGACTGTAGGATTTTGATACAGGAAACATTCCATCCAAAAAATAGTGCGAGGGCTTGTAGTGATGGTTTGCTGATGCAACTATATGATACTATCGACCAGCTATTCTTTATTGATAAAGTATGTTTCTATATGCCTGGCTGCTTTTATGTTTGCCATTGTGCATGTGTTCCTCTTCATGTGTGTGTGTGTGTGTGTGTGCGTGTGTGTGTGTGGGTATGTGTGTGTTTGTTGGTTGTGTGGACGTTCAGGTCATTCCGTTGAGGACCGGGAATACAAGGCCAGGCTTCTGAGCAAACCTTGGCAACGGACGGTCAACAGCATATTGACTATTGATACCACTTCAAGGGAATTAACGTCAGCTGCGTGTAGAATGGAGAGTGCTGTATTCAACGTGTGGCCAGGCCATTTACTGCCCTTATTGTCCTTGCGGGACATCATCCAGCTGTGTGGAACCTCCAAGCATTTGAAGGCGCTGCTAATCGATGAAAACATGTTTAGCATTCTATGTCGGGTAAGTAGTTTGTTTACTTGATATTTTAAATTAGATCAAAACCAAGTGGGCATTGATGTCCTATAATTATTATAATGGCGATACAATAAAAAAAAATGAAACGTGTCCTGAGAAAATGAGAGAGAAGTAAAGGAGAAATGCATGTACCGGTAATTACAAGCCAATTTCTGACAAACTTTTCAATCAGAGAAAAATGGGAAATAAGGACAGATGCTGAAGGAAGGCAATATTCTCCTAGATTAACCGTGGAAGAACACTTTCAGCAATAGTTCTAACGATTTAACGTGTTCCTGGCAAGTTCGGGTTACTTTTTCAGAATAGAGCTAATGCTTGTGGTGTGAGCATGGTGCATAAGGAAACGGAGCTTGAATTTTGCAAGTTCAGTGGCGAGAGGCGAGAGTATAATCATAGGAGTAGTATGGGCCAGGAAGGGCAGATTAGCTACGCTGCGACAACACATCCCTTGTCGAGGACAGTGAGCTGGTGCCGCTGATGAAGCATAGAAAGCAGAAAAGAACGTGTTTGATCCATAAAACATGTCAGGAGGTATAAGGGCAGAATAGAGGAGAAGGGACTGGCGTTCGGATAGTGACGGGAGGACGGTTCTCAGGGTGGTTAGCTCCTGGGACGTTTTACGTCCTATGGTAATGACATACGGTTCCCACCAAAGAAATAAATCGATTTGTAGGCCCAGATAGCGAGCAGTGGTAGCCTGGATGGTTCCCGCTGCAGTCCACATCGAGTTCCATGTTACTGCAGCGTGATTCCTCAGTCAAGACTTTATAAGTGTTGCTACGGATCTGCTTGTGGTATGAAGAAGGATGTCACCCGCAAAGAGCTTGGAGTGTGCTGTGCTGATGACGCTATGGACGTCTATTGTGTTTAGTTAAAACAACATAGGACCTAGCACACTACCCTGCGGCACTCCACACTCGCAACCAGACAGGCCGGAAGACTGCCTACTTGCCAGAGCTACTCTCTGTCGACGGTCCGTTAAGTAGCCCGCACAATCATGCAGTGCAGTCGAAGATACACCCAATAGAAACAAATCTTGGATCATAAGCTGGTGTCATACTTTATCCAATGCCTTGCTCATGTCCACTAGTACTGCGCCAGGACGTAGCTGGTGACGACAGGTAGTGGTCTATGGCCAAGGTCAAGGCATCGTCCATGAAGTGTTGTGGCCGGTACACAAACTGATTGGAGGGCAGAAGTGAATGGGTTGATAAGAAGTCACATAGGCGTTTGTGGTCTATCTTCTCCAAGATCCTCCATACTATTGGCAGCAAAGATATAGGATGGGAATAAAAGATGCGTACTTGTATGCTGAGGAAGCTGTCTGCGGAAGACCTAGGTTCTGGAGTTCATTCTTTTTGCTTCAAGTATTAAAATTGTGGAATACATTCAGGATCCCTACGGTAAGATTACGACTACTGGCGTTGTTGTGGTTCAATAAAGGGGAGTAATTTGACGGCTGTGGTCTAGTATGAAATGGGACTGCATTAGGGTATCGTCTATTGTGATGGTGAATTCCGGCAGAAATTGGAATTAGTTGGCGACTTTACACTAGTCGAACACATGCAGGAGCTTGTGACTAGAGAAAATGATGATGCATGAATTCTATTTTGCTAAAATAAAAAAATGAGCCATGTTAGACATTCGGTGAATTATCATGGGGAGCTTAGTGTTCGAAATGCTAAAGAACTCTAGTATGCAGTTTTGCTTTTTCCGGGGGGGGGGGGGGGGGGGGAGTCGGCACACAACGCCGTCTCCTGTTCACTCTCGAAATGCAGCCGTATAGTCCGTTTACGTCACGTCGGAATTCTACTTTACTCTTCCCGGGGAATTGTGTGTTGCTCCGTAAGCGTGAGCTTGCGCTATTCCTGCCGACTTGAATTCTAACTTGACTGACTCACGACTACCATCCAGAGCACACGAGAAGCGCACGAGAAGACCAAAACGTCCAAGGAAAACTGGCTGTACTATCATAGTGATCAGGTCAAATTGTCAACCGATATGCTTCACGAATTCACAAATAAGTTGTTTTCACTATCAATTTCTGTATTCTTTGTCCTATACGTGCAGCAACGCTATCAACTCAGGCCTCGTTTGGACGTGTCATATATAGACGCTGCCATAAACCTGGAAATTGTCACCGGTGTGGCCAGCGTGTATCATAGCCATTGCATCGATACTATGCGTTGCATTTACGGCAGCCATGTGGATGTTGCTTTGGTCGGCAGAGCAAAGAAGCAGTCGATTATCACACTGTCGTGCCTAGAGTTGATGCTGCCAGCACAGCTGAGTGATACCACTAGCTGGGACAGCGCTGGCCTGTTCAAGTCACTCGCCGAAAGCCATTTACTACATGCTGTAGAAGATCGTGAATTCCTACCAAACCTTTTGCTGAAGGATGTCGACCGAAAACTTGAGGAGATGGAAGAAGAAGAATTTGATGACTTCAACTTTGAACCAATGCAGTACCTGTTTAGCGATGTCACAGATTTGTTCATGAGAGACGGATCGGAGCAAACGTGTCAAGAAGTGATTATCAACTCGATGGAACCACTTATTGCGAGGATGACCAAATACATGCCTTACGTTAACCGCTCGCGGAGGCTTGTGGAAATTGCGCATTCGTTGCATGATTTAGCCCAGACAGACGCAACTCTGTTATCAGCTCTGGGACTTGAAGATCTCAACGCAATTCCTCTTCCGGATGATGATGATGATGATGATGAGTGGACGGACTCGTATAACCCTTACTACCATTGTGATATCCACTATAGCGACAATTACAATCTGGGCGAAGAAATGGATAAGTCCCGATCATTGATCGACATGGCCGCCAAGCTCTCAGAAAAGCACTCAGTTCTGAGGCTGCTGATAATGGGTAGGCTAAAGACATTGAATCCCGAGAATTACTTCATGGCTCTCAACGAATATGAACAATTCTGGAATAGTTTGTCTGAGTCAAGTCGCCCCAGTCCTAAAGTACTATGCAGCGGCTTGGGAAGCCATCTACTTTCGTCAATATCAGGATTGCCTGATCAGAAGCTGTGGACGAAACTGGAGCTAGTGGACGCCATGAAGAACTATGGAAAAGAACTAGTTTTCCTTGCGCAAGAAGAGCTACCGCTTTCTGAGAAGCAAAGAAGACCAGAATGTGGGCAAGATGACGAAAAGAAAGAAGACGAAGAACGCCCATGAGAATGATCACACCGACACACACGCGCACGCAGACACACCAACTCACGTATAAACATGGACGTACATTTGACACCTCACACTACCTTGTATATTGCAATGTTATGCATCTTTAACTTCGTGATTGTATACCTCCTTATTTTGATAGTCCACTTCACCCGTCCTTGTTAACAGTGTTAGTCACGGTTTGTTCTTACCTTTCCAAGTATTCAATGATGATGATTGACTGTTATATGTTTCGCCGACCGAGCGGGGCAAATGAGGCGAGAAATGATTTCTCGCGCAACAAAATTATTTTTCTTGCGAATATGGAATCTGATGTTTTCTCGTTTTGTTGCTGTTCTGTTTTGCTTGACTCCTTCAGTCAGTTTTTTTTGTGTCTCACCAGTGTCCCCACCCTCCCGCCCTTCATGTCTGCCCATCTTCTTCCATTTCTTTCTTGGCTGTTGATGTGTGGTGGCTATTTTTATGCTGCCATGTTGCCACTTGGGGTTATAGTTATACACCCGGTTTTTTCCTTCATTCGTGCGTCCGTCGGCGCGAGGGTTTTTTCCCGGCTGGCTCGGTCCAGAGAAATTAATCTGACGGCCCCAAGTGGTGCTTGTTCTGGTTTATCCCTGTTGTTGCTCCTAGTTTTCTTTTCCATTCCGGTTCACATCTGGCTCCGGCCTACTACACTCACTCTGTGTGCTCCTGCCTCTGTTGTCTGGGTCCATGTCGTTATGTCAGTGCATGTGGAGCGAGAAACATCCTTCTTGTCCTCTTTTTTGTCTGTTCTAGTTTTTTGCCATGATTGTACTAAGTTTACGAAGTAGTGGTTGCGACTTCGGCGATGATTTGTCAGAAAGGTTTGCTCCCCACACCGAAGTAAAGTCGGCGGAATAGCGCGAGCTCCGGTGTGGGGAGCAAACCTGTCTGTACAAAGTTTATCATAATAATTATTAGTACTTCAAATACATTTGGAATTACATGTAACGATCGATTGCAGGAGCAAGTCTACCCACAACATGTTTTAATTTTTGGAATTTGGTTGAGTTTTACTTAGTACAGCACATGAATGATGATAATTTATGATACTCTTTGTTGGCTTAGTACAGTGGCCACCGTACTTGAGGAAGTCAGTTGTGAAACAAAAATAATGCAACTACAGCGTGTAGACAATCTGACGACCAAAGCACAACATAGCAAACATGACATTTGCCCAAGGATTGCAGTTTGCAGACCACGCCATGGAAGCAGCGAATACAGAATGTAATATCATACAAAGTGACAAGCAAGGAAGTGGCCATCATACACCAGAAACTTGCAGAAAGTCACACATCCAACAGATAGAGAAGTGAACAGCAATCTGATACAGCCCACACAGGACAAAGCTGACCTGATACTCGTCCTAGGATCGCAAGTGGCAAATCCTTTTCAATGTATATCATGCAGGTTTACGTTAGACGCATGGACGACATCTGACCGTGTCGCCAGCATACAATGTCATCACATGTTTACCCCACAAGTTGCACACATGTACAGTAGAAGCACAATGAAAGCAATGGAAAAGTACGATGTGGTTGCTGATGCATCTTCACACTTCAAATTCAGACTTCAATCTGGTCGTCACGGGATGATATACCTGCAAGATACAAGTGATGAAGAAAGAAAGCAGAAGGTCGTGAGGTAGGCTATGAGTAGCCCTTTCCCAAAGATGCCATAGTTTTTCGCAACTTATGCTTTTCGCAACCGTGCCAAAACAAGTGCTAGTTGCTGAAATCTCATCCATATTTTCAGAAAAAGCTCAAAAGTTGCCAATATCGCAACTCAAAATTGGAGAGTTCTTGTGCAAAACCTACAGAACAGGGAGCAGAAATAGCAGAAATGCAGCGATGCTGCGACAGCAAACTCGTACACCCCTTCCTGCTGTGAACCACCACTTTACACATTGCCAGTAGCCTGTTGCATGTATCCTACATGTACATCATTACAGTGCACGGAAAAGGGAAAGTACATAATTATCATAACTACCGTTGATCTACTGTTTCTCAGAAATGAGCCTGAAGGCAGGCGAGAAATGAGCAAGCACGAGTATGTATTTGTCCAACAATGCAACATGTAGTCGGCGACTTGACCTTTTGACCCCATGCCATGGGCCAATTGTGCCAAGGTTGCGGAGAAGTTGCCAAATAGTTCCGGAAAATGAAGAAAGTTGCGAAAGCTGCGATTTCTTCCTAAACAACGAAAAGTTCCAAAAAAGTGGCCAGCATCTTTGGGAAAGGGCTAGCTATGAGACACCACAAACAGGTCACCTACATGTATGTTCAGGGCTAGTGCACTCACACGCAGAATTGTCATAATCGAGCATTTCCCAAACTGAGAAGTGCAATGAAATCCACTTGCATGCACAGGAGCAATTTTGCCATTATGATGCGCAATTCGACAGGATCTGCGATGCTGCGTGCGATGTGCCCTGCTGTCATGATGGTGACAGTCACTTTGGTATGTTTTGTCAACGTCGCCCGTGCACTCTTCTGTCAAGTCCAAAGTGCTCACATACTTGGCAACGTCTTTGCAGTGATTTACTTTTATCCTAGTTATGTCACGGTAACTTTAATTAAGTACCCACAGGCCGTGTCGATCCGCACATCGTCCACTCTCTCATGTACTTGGCCTGCTTTGTCTGTGTATCCATTTCATGTGCGATCCACAAAATCGACTAGACAGTGGGTGCAATACGCTCTCTATCTGAAGACGTTCTTTTGGCGACATCTCGCCATGTACTTGGCCTGCTTTGTCTGTGTATCCATTTTCATGTGCGATCAACAAAATCTCAATGCACTACAGACTAGACAGTGGGTGCAATACGCTCTCTATCTGAAGACGTGAACCATTAATTTTTTTGGAAAAGTTATACGTACACCTGAAACGTAATGAAGTACAGGAATAGAGAGAGTGACTACAATACGCTCTCGACCTGATATAGTGATAACGTGTTAGAAGGTAACAGGTCTACAGTCCCACCGTACCCTTCCGACACGACTGTAGACCATTAAATTGTTTTGACCTGATAACGTGAGTACAAGACACTCTCCACCTGATAACGTGTTAGTAAGTTAGAAGGTAACTGGCAACATATCAATGGGTTGCCTTACCGTAGTCTAGAGGAGACGTGAGTACAAGACACTCTCCACCTAATAACGTGTTAGTAGAAGGTAATGTAGTGGTGTTAGTTTACAGGGTGTAATGTATTGCCTTCAAGTACTAATGCTCTGGTGTTGCATTGCGTTACCTTAGTTATACATTGGCACCACACGTTATCATATACCACTCATATCATGTCACACCTATATCATGTCGCACCCATATCATGTCACACCTATACGATTGGTATAATAGACTAGCAGAGCTACAGGGAGATCTCTCTCTCAGCCTGCACACCTAACTGTTGGTCACCACATTGGCGCAGTGAACAGGATTGTGGCCAGGCAGGATGGCAGCAGTCAAGGGTCGACCACCACGCGAATTTGTTGTGGACCCCTCTGCCAATATCGCAGCCGATTTCGACCTATGGCTAGAGGACTTCGAAGACTATCTCGATATCGCTAAGGTCGCAGACGCAGGGGAAAAGAAGAAACTGCTTCTAAACCTGGCAGGCCTATCTCTTCGCCGCATTGTGAAGGGTCTCCAGGTCGCAGAACCCTCTGGTGACCAGGACGCGTGCCAAGTCTTGAAGGCCGCAATCCAATCGTACTTTCGCCCGTCGGTAAATGCAACTGCGGAGCGTCACAGATTCAGGAAACTCAGGCAGAAGTCTGATGAGTCCGTCACCTCTTTCATGGGACGGCTCCGAGAAAAGGCGGCACTTTGCGAGTTTGACTCGACTGCAGTGGACTCGGTTGTGAATGGCCAGCTTCGGGACCAGTTCATAGCCGGACTGCAGTGCCAGGAGGCACGCAAGCAGCTTCTAATGGAGTCAAGACTAACGCTAGCTGATGCTATCGCGAAAGCTGTCGCATTAGAAGCCTCAAAGGTTGACAATAGGCTGTTCAGTGAGGAAGCAGGAAGGACACTGGACATGCCTTCGGGAGGTGTGGCAGCCGTAGCACCGGATACGGCTGCGGTGAATATGGTGAAACACCGTCAGCACGGCAGAAGCAAGGCTCACACGTGCAAGTACTGTGGCGGAACCCATCCACCAGGCAAGGACAATTGCCCGGCTGCGCGAGTTCGCTGCAGACACTGCTCAAAGGTCGGGCACTTTGAAGTCGCCTGCCTGTCCAAGAGCAAGGAAGTTAGAGCCCAGACTATTGGCGAGGAGGATGAAGCCGATGAAATTTGCGAGTCTGTGTATACCATGCACACTGATCAGAAACACTGGTTCACAGCAGCTCTGCAGGTGGATGGAAAATCATGTGAAGGCCTGCTCGATACTGGTGCAACGAGAACAATTTTGACATCGGACATAGTGCAGCCTACTCGTCGCAGTGACCGAACTCTCCGTGCCTACAACGGGGGAGTTGTCAGCACACTGGGGATGGCAGACGTCACCCTATCATCTGCCAGTCGTAGCTGCACTGTGGCCTGTTTCATTGTACCAAAGGGCTCCCACCGAGTGCTATTTGGCCAGGACGTGATCAAGGAACTCGAGCTACTAGTGCCAACCCACCTGGTGGAGTCTGGAAATGTGGTCAGCGTTGCACCAGTCAGCATTACCGTCAAGCCAGATGCAGTGCCTGTCGCTCTGCCAGCTCGGCGTCCCCCTTTCAGCATCAAGTACGAGATAGAAACAGAACTTCAGCGGTTAGTCGATGCTGACATCATCAAGCCGGTGAAAGAGGCTGCGGCATGGGTTTCCCCAACCGTGCCAGTTCGCAAACCCAGTGGCAAACTGCGTTTGTGTATCGACCACAGGCAGCTGAATAAGAATGTTGTCCGAGAGCGACATGTCCTGCCAACCCTGGATGAGATAACAGCGCAGCTGGACGGAGCGCAGGTGTTCTCAGTCCTCGATTCAGAGTCGGGATTTCACCAAATTGAGCTTGACCAGGAGTCGCGTCCACTGACGACTTTCGCGGCCCATTGTGGGCTTTATCGCTTCAAGCGTCTGCCATTTGGTATTGCCAGTGCACCAGAAATGTTCCAGCGCGTGGTTTCGGATATTTTGGCGGGGCTCCCAGGAGTGATTGTCTACATTGACGACATTCTTGTGTTTGGAAGCAGCCAGGAAGAGCATGACAGGCGTCTCGCAGCAGTCCGGCAGCGCCTGGAAGCAGCAAATCTCCGGCTCAATGCAGACAAATGCCAGTTGAGCAAGTCCAGCGTCAAGTACATTGGCCACTGGCTGTCGGGCACCGGCGTGGCTCCCGACGGTGAGAAGCTGCAGGCCATTGCAGACATGGCTATGCCTAAGTCGCTTCAGGATGTGCAACGTTTCCTCGGAATGGTAACCTACCTCGGAAGATTCATTCCAGATATGTCGTCCATCTCCGAGCCGGTGAGACGGTTGGCAAAGCGTGTGCCCTTCATTGTGGATAGCGAATTCTGCAACGCGTTCAGCGACGCTAAGAGGCAGCTGGTGCAGGCACTGGACCACCTGGCCTACTTTCGTTTGGACCCAAACGTTCCAACGGCCATAAGCTGTGACGCATCGCCTTGTGGCCTGGGAGCAATTCTATGGCAGCAGAATTCTAGTGGTCAATGGCTACCAGTGACATGTGCCAGCCGCACTCTCACAGAGGTAGAAACTCGATATTCGCAGATGGAGAGAGAAATGCTGGGAGTCGTGTTTGCGCTGCAACGCTTCCGGCAGTACGTGCTCGGGCGACACGTCGAGGTGCATACTGACCACCAACCCCCGATATCCATAGTGCAGAAGCCGTTTGATGATGTACCTCCCCGGCTACAGCGTTGGCTGGTGTCTCTCATGCCCTACACCTACAAGTTGGTGCACGTACCAGGAAAGCAGCTCTTGTGCGTGGATGCTTTATCCAGGGCTCCACTACCTGGCCACGCCCCTTCGACTGCTGAGACAAAGTCTATGGCCGAGTTTGTTGGCATGGTGCTAGAGGCCTGTCCAGTAGACCTGGAGCAGGTTGCACAGGCCACGCAGGACGACTCTATTCTACATAGTATTCTGCAACGAGTGCTGACGTCCAGATGGGAGGCTGTGAGTGCAAGTGAAGAGGCATACTTGATCGTACGCGATGAGCTCTCAGCCTCAGAAGGTGTCGTGCTTTTCAACGCAAGAGTGGTCATCCCGGAAGCGCTTCGCACTGCAGTTATGGCGTTGGCACATGAGGGGCACCCAGGTCGAGCTGCATTCCTGGAATCTCTCCGACGTCGAGTTTGGTGGCCCAGTGTCACAAAAGATGCCACATTGTACGCCGAGCGCTGCTCGGAGTGCTATAGGAAACATAGCAACTCGCATCAGGAGCTTCTCCCTTCTGAGATTGAAGGTGTATGGGAGAAGCTCGCAGTAGACCTGGTGAATGTGGAAGGACATCAACTGCTTTCCATCATTGACTATGGCTCGCGCTACCCGGAGGTGATCCTACTGCAAAGCACGTCAACCACCAGCGTTGTGAGTGCATTAATGGAGACGTTCGCAAGGTTCGGCTTGCCAGCACAACTGGTCTCGGACAATGGTCCCCAGTTTGCTGGCAGAGAGATGGCAACGTTCCTCCAACGCCTAGGGATCCGTCACGTTAAATCGAGCCCACGCTACGCTCGGTCCAATGGCATGGTTGAGCGTTTTCATCGCTTACTGAAGGAGCGGATGGCAGGGCTTAAACCACATTTACCGTTCAGCCGACGCCTGCAGCAAGTGTTGTTCGACGTCCGTAACAGCAACAACCGAATGATTGGGATGGCGCCGAATGAGGCGCTGTTCAGTAGATTGGTTCGCACGAGGCTCCCCGCGTCAATTACTCCGACGATTGTCAATCCGTCCCACCAAATCCAAGCCAAGGCAGACATGGCCACGCAGCATGACGCTCGCCGAGGAGTGCGAGCGCTTCCTTCAATGAAGCCGGGCACTAAAGTTATAGTGCAGGATGGTTACTGCAACCCAAGAAGTCGTCGAGCAGTACGGACGACAGGTTGGAATCACGGATGGACGCAGAATACTCTTGCGGAATCGTGTTCACTTGCGTGAAGTGGTCCGGCCGGGATGCCAGGTGCAGCCAGAGGTAACACTGCAGGAGCGACATCTGCGGCAGCCGAGCATTCCTCACCCAGATCGGCCACCTGCAAGTATGCCACAGACGAGACGACAGGAGGAGCCTAAGTCAACTGGACACCCTGTGCAGCCCGGTCCTGTTCATTCAGAAGCAGGTCCGACCGGAGTCGCCAGTGGAAGTACACCAGCCCCAGATGCATCACCAGCGCGACCGGATGACCCTCCGGAGAGTCAGCGTGCCAACCTGGGAAGCCGAGTGGCTGGAGGGCCTGCCGGTGGTGGGGCTGTATTCCGTGAAGGCATCGTGACCCGTGCAGGAAGGAGCGTTCAGTTATCACAGAAAGCAAAGGATGCTATGGGACTGGTGTGAGGAGATAGCACTAGGGTTCAGAGCTAGTCTAGAGTTGCATTGGCTCAATCCTTGAACACAACATCTGATCGACGTTGCGTTGTACGCTGCAGTTTGTATTCAAAATTGCTTTCTTTTTAAAAAAGGGGGTAATGTAGTGGTGTTAGTTTACAGAGTGTAATGTATTGCCTTCAAGTACTAATGCTCTGGTGTTGCATTGCGTTACCTTAGTTATACATTGGTACCACACGTTATCATATACCACCAAGAGTACATAAACAAGAGTGTGCAACTCCAGCTATGGGGTCTGCGACGGCAGAACTTCACATCACGTGATGAACCCGTGCACTCTAGTGCATGATAGATACTGGGTTGTACGCAGCCCAGCTTTGGGTACAACTCTCTTGTGGTCACTTTGCACTGTTTGCCAGCATAACCTTTTGAACCATGTCACGTGATGTGAAGTTCTGCCGTCGCAGCACAGCATAGAGGTTGTGCAGGCAGTTGCACACTCTTGTTTATGTACTCTTGATACCACTCATATCATGTCACACCTATATCATGTCACACCTATATCATGTCACACCTATACGATTGGTATAATAGACTAGCAGAGCTACAGGGAGATCTCTCTCTCAGCCTGCACACCTAACTGTTGGTCACCACAGGTAACTGGCAACATATCAATGGGTTGCCTTACCGTGGTCTAGAGGAGACGTCTTCGCAGTAATATTTTCTCTCCTGCACATTCAGTCACCGACGCGACAGCGTTTACTGGGCCGTTCCAGTTGCGGAAGACATTCGATTCATCGGGCCAATTCAGCAACAGGGCTGTGGACACACAGGGGGCAGAGGAGAGACATTGTTAGTGGGCAAGAAATATGCAGCGGCAAGTGACGAGTGCCGCATGGATGTCAAGTTGTCATGCACAATTCAGCTATTACTTACGGTCCAGCTAGTCCTGCCATTGCTCGCTCGTCCTGGTTCCTCCTCGTTCGTCTTCCTGCACGTCTGCACTTCTCCTTCCCCACCGTTGGCTTTGCGGTACGGGGCTGCCGGAAGGAATTCCCACCATGTATCCATGTACATGAAGTCCCACCATGTCTCCATGTACATGTCCACGGTCACGTCAGCAGTTTGTATAGTACCGGAAGGAGTTCCCACGACGTCTCCAAAGGCCTAGAGGGGACGTCTTTGCAGCAATTCTTTTCACCCTGCACATTCATTCCGCCGACACGACAGCGTTTACGGGGCCGTTCCAGGTGCAAAAGGTCCACGTCAGCAGTTCTCAACTATTTCGCGTACGGGATAGTCGCCGCGACAGCGTTTAAGGGGTCGTTCCAGGTGCAAAAGGCATCCATCAATGGCACTTTGCAGTACGGGGTACGGAAAGGGGCCTCCTCGTTCGACTTCGTCGACTTCTGCAGTTCTCCTTCCCGTCAGGGGTACCGAAAGGGGCCTCCTCGCAGTTGTCCTTGCCGTCAGGTCCACGTCATGCAGTTCTCAACTATTTCGCGTACGGGATAGTCGTCTTTGTTGTACGCGACATCGGCGTTTACCGAGTGTCATTGGCACAAAGCAGACCGTTGACGGGGTCACGTGTCAAAAAAGTATCAACAACGTGTCGACTACGTGTCGACCACGTGTATAGCGGTACACTCAGCGGTACACTAATTCTCGTGCCATTCTCGTGTCACAAAACTGGAACATCGAGTACCAGTATGGAAAGGCTTCAGACAGGAAGCCTTTCCAATGAATCGAAGGAAACTGGTCAACTCAGAGATCACCCGTCATTGAGTATTCCGTAAAAGGAGGCCTCGACAGCAGAAAAGCTAAATTTAGAAAAGAGGTCCTGTCAGCTTTTCCATTATTTATTCTATTCCACCTAAAATCAGCACACTTTTTCGTAAATGAAAGAGTCAACACAAGAAAATGAATGAAAGGGAACTGGTCAACTCACCTGTCATTAGTAAGTAATATTCCGTGAAAGGAGGTCTCAGCAGAGCCGAAGCGAAATAAGCCAGGAGACGAAATATCCGAAACAGCTCATGCAAGAAGCAGTTCCAAAGAAGGAAGTATTAGTTCCTCGCGCATGCACATCCGAAAACGGACTGCTCTGCATGCAACACAATGTCTGCCGTGCACGTGCACAGCACGCGGCTAGCACGCTTTGGTAGATCTTTTTTTTTATTAGGGCTTGAAAGTGATGACGTCAAAAACGGCCAGGGAGTAGTAAGTTGACATCAGATTTCTATTTTGGATCCACTCAGGTGTGACTTTGCTATTGCCTCAGTATGTGGGTGAATAGCAACCCACTCATGTCGTATGCAGGGGAGACTTTTACTTCGCCACCAGTTGTAACCCCGCCCCCAGTAGCCAAATCAGTCAGTTCACTGGTTACACCACCTTGCTGTGAGTAAGACGGCTTGAAATGTGCTTGGATCCATACAAAAACTGGATCCAAGCGGATCCAATTTTTGAATTTGTGAAATTGTTGCTATGCTGTGACGTAGCACTTTCAAGCCCTCTACCGAGCACCTTACGTAGATACTTACGTAGCCTAAGTGAAATACCGAGCACCTTACGTAGAAACTTACGTAGCATAGCGATGTCGTTTTTTCTGCCATGTGAACACAATAATTGAAAAGCTGACAGGATCGCTTTTCGAAATGTAAACGTGCCATTCATTTTGTGCACATGGCGGGTTGAAATCTGACCCGGGTCGAACTCAACCCGGGTTGAAACGCCTCATGTAAACACAGCCCAAGAGAAATTGTACAGTAGCACTGCAAGGAAAGCTGCCTCACCAACAGGCACACACACCAGCACGGACGGTAGTACACGTACTACTACAAGAAGTAGTACCCCTACGGCCAGACCTGACCTGCCCGCCAAGCCTCAAACGCAAGATACAAGCACAAGCGACAATGGGTGGCAAAACCCACACCGCCGCCGCCGTACTGAGGTAACGGTTGCACACTGACCAGGCTGAATCTGAACAATGAGTAAACCAACACCTCAACTATTTACTTGACCCTAACGCAACGCCCTCGGTTTTCCGGCTCTACACAATCACAACGTCATATACCGGTACAATCAAGAGTACAGAGACATGACTGTACTCTTGGAACAATGCATAAGGTTGCATGCCGGCATTATCCCTGCACCCCCTATCTAGAAGTACTTTTCAGCCAAAGTAGCCCCTTTTGACCTTTCGCCTTCCACGCTCTTTCCCGATTCGTAGTACGTGTACTTTCGCTGTCTGCATATAAAAGCTGCCGGGTTATCGGAGTCTGTTCACATTATTATTTCGTGCTTTCCTTCCTTAGTTTCTTACTCAATGCTGCCGATACAGTCCAGTAACGTTACATGTCCCGTTGTCCTATCTGTGAGCCAGGTGAGTAAGCCGTCATGTAAACACAATGGCGACGCATTTTGTTCAGGAAATTGTGTTTAGAAGCAAATGCAGGTCTTTTGTAACTTCTCCCTGGAATAATCATCTCTCTTTGTTTCGGTGTCCCTGAGTCTTTCTGCTCCTGGTTGTCTAGCATTCTTGCACCGGAGAAATTTCAATACAATACATCTATTCCTTGCCCTATTCGTGTTGTGCCTCCTTAATCGCTCGGCTTCCCACTACATTAGTTATCGTGAGTTGTGCAGTGACTGGGTACACTGCAATTGTGCTTCTGGCTCGTCGTAGATCTACATGTCAAGCGTATCGCTCCAAGCATTTGCGAAGTAAGCCAGGCAGACCACACAAGGCAACGGACAAGGTAGAAAAGAACAAGAAGACCAAGAACCCCGGTAAATCCAATCCTTACCAGGTAAGCCCATCAGATATCTACTCAAACTCACCATAATGAACACCAATGCCTTTATCATCCCTGGATTCCTTGACCATAATACTACTAGTACTGCACCCCACCCCTACCGTTTCTTGTTCCATTCACAATGTCACGAACATCAGTCGTGATCATTTTATGTGCCCCTTTTTTGGCACCAAGCGATTCCCTTTTGTATGCACCCAGCCATTTCTGGCTGTTCTGCAGCTAGCAGTGTGCTCTACTTGCTCTCTGTTGTATGCATCTACCCGTTTCTGGCTGCCGTGCATGTCGCGGTGTGCTCCCCTTTCTGCGCATGTAACCATTTCTGGCTACCATGCATGTCGCGGTGTGCTCCCCTTTCTGAGCATGTATCCGTTTCTGGCTGCTACAGCTCGCGTTGCGCTTCCCTTGCTCTCCTATGTGTACACACGTCCATTTCTGGCTGTACCCGCATGCCTATTTCTGCCTTCGCGCTGACCCCTGAGGAATCGCTTGAGCCTAGTATGGATCCAGTGATCCGAATGTAGCGTCGTTCCCAGCAAGAACTTGCCGACTTTATATTTTGTTGCTCTACAAGCAGCTTTTCGCGAGTCTTCTTCGTGTCTCTGCTTAGAGTAGAGACCAGTTTTTTCTGCTCTAATCAGAAGCTCAGAGCTACATCAATAGCAATAATAAAACCTTATAAAAGATCAAAAAAAACTCTTGTCGATGCGATGACAACGTCGACACACAACCTCTTCATATTTGAGTTTCAATGTTTGCAGCTTGTTCATCAAAATCTTCTTCTTCTTCTTCTTCTTCGGTAACTACAAGTCATAATAAATATGAAAATGACTGTGAGAGTACAGTGTACATGTAGTAGAAACTTAGATCAGTTTCTCCAGTTGCAAGAACTGGATAGCTTCTGATGGTTGTGTGAGAATTGCCTCCCTGACTGATGTGAAGGTACATAGACGTGTACCTGCTCGACTGCTGTGTCTGGCAGGGCAAGCTAGCAGGAGGTGGGCAGCATCATCAACTGTTCCAGGACAGTGAGTGCAGTCGGGTGAAGGTGCCGCCTCAATCTGGAACAAGTACTTATTCAGCAGGCTGCAATGGCCAGTGAGCAGCTGATTGAGGATGGTGGTCTCATGCTGGGACGGAGGGCTGCGGAACTTGCTGGTGTTGAGTAATGGCCGGGGGTATGCGGTTGCAGACCGAATTGAAGCCTTGGCAGCTTGGATAGGTAGCTGAACCTGGGCCTGTACACACTGTGTTCCATTCCGCGCAAGGCGATCCGCCTTGTCATTGAGAGCAACACCGCAGTGGCTGCTGATCCAGGCAAGGTTGATGGAATGAGCCTTCCGAGCAACCTCTGTCAGAGCATCGAACACAGCAATGGTGTCTGGGCTGATCCTGTATGGGTCTCCACGGAGGGCATCTACGAGGGAGAGGCTGCCAGTGACCAGCACAACGTCCGTCTCCATGGTGGTAAGGTCGTAGACTGCCCTCAGGCCAGCTGCTGCTGCTGCTACTTCGGCAGTGAAGGATGTTGCGACAGCGCCAGCTGGTAGACACCCAGACAGTATCTCTGACCGCTGGGTTGCAGTGGTTTCCATGACAAGAAAACAGCCTCCACCAGCGTTGGTGTCAGAGACACTGCCATCTGTCCAAATGTCTAGACGTCGCGAGGAACAACAGGAGCGATAGGCTTCCTCCAGGCATGCTAGTGCCTCTACAAGTCGTAGAGTAGGAGGGTCAGACCGGGTGCAAGCGGACTTGAAAACGGATAGGTTTGGAACGGAGGACCAGGGTGGAGGACGGGATGGCAGAGGTGCAGGGGATGGTGGAAGATGCCGCTCTGCCATTTGTCTCCATGTCTCCTTGGTTTTACGGATCCGAACAGGGTATGTTGACTGCAACACGGCACTAGCTGGTGTAGGAGCACTATGACGCTTCGCGATATTAGCTATACAGGCCGCCTGGCGCTCGACTTTCAGCTGGATAGTTGGTGCACCAGCTATTTCACGTAGTTGATTCGTAGGTGTTGTCTTCGTGCACCCAGTGGAGAGGCGGAGGCAGCTATTGTAGGCAACATCAAGATGATGCTGACCTTGCTTGGTGGCAAGACCATAGTAGGCTGGTGCCCCATACAGACCAGAAGAGAGCACGTACTGGTTGACAAGCCGAGTGGTGTTTTGCTGATTGAGGCCCCAGCTATGGCCACTCGTAGCTCGCACGATTCGAAGGCGTTGTTCAATGCGACGGCGTGCAGCGAGGCACTGTTCCTTAAAACTCATCGTTGCGTTGACCAATATACCGAGGAAGCGAGCTGAATCAGCTGAAGGGATAGGTGTGCCGTTCAAGGTCTGCGGGATGGCAGCACAGCGGATGGCATATGAAGTCGATATCACAACCTGCACAGATTTTGAGCCATTCAGGGTGATACAGCTGCGCCGGCAGAAGTCGGCAACATGGTTCAACAGATCCTGCGTGACAGATTCGAGAGCCTCGACCAGACGGCTGGAGACAGCGATAGCGATGTCGTCAGCATACAAGAAAGGCATAAAGTCCGCACGGTGCTTTGCTAGGTTAGGCAGCTTTAGGTCATCGAAGATGGGCGCCATATACAGAAGCCAAAGGACGGGAGACATCGTTTCATCAAAATGGACGAGATTGCACAGATCGCCACTTGGGCAAATCTCCTCGAGCCAGATTCCCTATACCAACTCCCCGACTACTCTCTAAATAGGTACGATCGGCAGCAGGCGATGACATATGCCTACTTGGCATGTCAAAGGCTTTTGAAAAAGTCAGTCACCCTACGCTGCTGGAGTACCTGCTCGACATTGGCGGTTCTGGAACGGAATTTAAAATTTGCTTTGCCAACTACAGTATCTCTGCCATCGAACCCAGAAAATGCGCATTGCAACCAAGGACGGACCCTGTTTTTTTTCTACTTCACTATTATATTTTATTACTTTACTTGGGCATTCCCAACAGACCCTAAGGTCTTCCTACAGGGTGCCCAAGATGAATGAATGTGTTAAGTTCCTGGCGAAATGAATAATTGGAGATAGGATTTGTGCGAAGGGATTCCGTCGGGAAGCGCATTGAAGCAGTCAGCACCAAGGAATGAAATAGATTTGTATCCAGCTTGAGTTTTCACAATGGGTAAAGAAAGGGAATTATTGCCTTTGCCACGGGTGACTCTATCTGTGTGAGCGAAGTCACCGCGAAGGGAGAACATGTCAGAGAGGAGTAAACTGCAGATGCCAGGGAGATTTTTGTCCCACGTACTACGTACATGTATGTGTTTTACGTGTGTGTATCACGTGATACCGACCTGTGGGGATAGGAGAAGTCCTGCGGCGCATCATTGGTAAATCCATGAAGACACTCCTCGTGGATGACATCACTACCGCTGCTGGGGCGTCCCAACTTTGTGCAGGACACCCGCAGGAAGTGAAGCGGCTATCCATGCCCTGAGACAAGTTTTTACCTCTTTCTTATCTAGCCGCCGACCGCTGGAACTCAGTTCCGGCATCGGTCCGCCTTGCTGCTTCACCAAGCCAATTTCGTATCGCAATCCTAGATTGGCTAGGGTACCCCGTAAGGAGACCATAGGTCTGTGGGGACTGCCCTAGAGAAATATGAATAAATACTTTAGCACTTCCTTTTTTTTTGTTCACACTTTTAATTATGCTGTTATAAAAGGTTCTATTTTGTACACAGTACCCTCAATTCCGATACTATTCACTGATAAGCGGAACACGAAAATCGATTTTGAATAACATAAAAATCCTTAAAAATTTCCATGAACTCGTTATTGTCTGGCCATGTCTGCATCGATTATACTCTTAATTGCACTAATAAAATACTTTAGTATATATACTATACGTGCCATGAAAAAAAAAATAATGATGACAACAAACAGGAAGAAGAAGCACAATCAACAAGAGAACCGACAAGTTAGAGAGCTCTGCATAACGCAAACAGCAAAGGCGATACCAACCACGAGAGTGCTAAACTTCTATGAACAGGAGCGAAATACTCAATCCAGGGACATAACTGCTTCGTCATTCGTAGACTCATCAGCGCAGCAAAGAGAAAATGAGGTCGGACCTGATTTGAATTGAAAATACAATTTTCAAAGCCAGATTTAAACCAGGTCCGAACGTACCTTACCAGAGTGCTCAAACTGAAAAGTCAGTGAGCTATGCATAACGCAAACAGCAAAGGCACTACCTGCATGAGGGTGGTCAACTACTAAAAGAGCAGGAGTGAAATCCTTATTTGGTGGAGAGAACTGTTTCGCTCTTTGTGGACTAATCAGTGCAGCAGAAAGAATCTTCTATCTTCTAAGGCGGCAGAAAAAGATACAAACATGACTGGGACGATTAAATATCTGCCTATAAATATCACGATCATTAGCAGCAGCAAGAGAGAGAGAGACAGAGAGAGAGAGAGACAGAGAGACAGAGAAAGACAGAGAGAGACAGAGAGAGACAGAGAGAGACAGAGAGAGAGAGAGAGAGAGAGAGAGAGAGAGAGAGAGGGAGAGAGAAAGAGAGAGAGAGATGTCTGTATGATTGATGAGTCCAGTTTTGTTTTGTAATTTTAGACCATATACGATGAACTCGTATGGTGAGCCAAGGTTCAATTTATAGAAAGGAAAAGAAAAGTGGACATAATAGCGTAACGTTTGGTTCCTTCGTCCTTTTTCTTTTCTGTACATTTATGATGAGGAGGGCTGTAGGATTTTGATCCAGGAAACATTCCATCCAAAAAATAGTGCGAGGGCTTGTAGTGATGGTTTGCTGATGCAACTATATGATACTATCGACCAACTATTCTTTATTGATAAAGTATGTTTCTATATGCCTGGCTGCTTTTATGTTTGCCATTGTGCATGTGTTCCTCTTCATGTGTGTGTGTGTGCGTGTGTGTGTGTGGGTATGTGTGTGTTTGTTGGTTGTGCGGACGTTCAGGTCATTCCGTTGAGGACCGGGAATACAAGGCCAGGCTTCTGAGCAAACCTTGGCAACGGACGGTCAACAGCATATTGACTATTGATACCACTTCAAGGGAATTAACGTCAGCCGCGTGTAGAATGGAGAGTGCTATATTCGGCGTGTGGCCAGGCCATTTACTGCCCTTATTGTCCTTGCGGGACATCATCCAGCTGTGTGGAACCTCCAAGCATTTGAAGGCGCTGCTAATCGATGAAAACATGTTTAGCATTCTATGTCGGGTAAGTAGTTTGTTTACTTGATATTTTAAATTAGATCGAAACCAAGTGGGCATTGATGTCCAATAATTATTATAATGGCGATACAATAAAAAAAATGAAACGGGTCCTGAGAAAATGAGAGAGAAGTAAAGGAGAAATGCATGTACCGGTAATTACAAGCCAATTTCTGACAAACTTTTCAATCTGAGAAAAATGGGAAATAAGGACAGATGCTGAAGGAAGGCAATATTCTCCTAGATTAACCGTGGAAGAACACTTTCAGCAATAGTTCTAACGATTTAACGTGTTCCAGGCAAGTTCGGGTTACTTTTTCAGAATAGAGCTAATGCTTGTGGTGTGAGCATGGAGCATAAGGAAACGGAGCTTGAATTTTGCAAGTTCAGTGGCGAGAGGCGAGAGTATAATCATAGGAGTAGTATGGGCCAGGAAGGGCAGATTAGCTACGCTGCGACAACACATCACTTGTGGAGGACAGTGAGCTGGTGCCGCTGATGAAGCATAGAAAGCAGAAAATAACGTGTTTGATCCATAAAACATGTCAGGAGGTATAAGGGCAGAATAGAGGAGAAGGGACTGGCGTTCGGATAGTGACGGGAGGACGGTTCTCAGGGTGGTTAGCTCCTGGGACGTTTTACGTCCTATGGTCATGACATACGGTTCCAACCAAAGAAATGAATCGATTTGTAGGCCCAGATAGCGAGCAGTGGTAGCCTGGATGGTTCCCGCTGCAGTCCACATCGAGTTCCATGTTACTGCAGCGTGATTCCTCAGTCAAGACTTTATAAGTGTTGCTACGGATCTGCTTGCGGTATGAAGAAGGATGTCACCCGCAAAGAGCTTGGAGTGTGCTGTGCTGATGACGCTATGGACGTCTATTGTGTTTAGTTAAAACAACATAGGACCTAGCACACTACCCTGCGGCACTCCACACTCGCAACCAGACAGGCCGGAAGACTGCCTACTCGCCAGAGCTACTCTCTGTCGACGGTCCGTTAAGTAGCCCGCACAATCATGCAGTGCAGTCGAAGATACACCCAATAGAAACAAATCTTGGATCATAAGCTGGTGTCATACTTTATCCAATGCCTTGCTCATGTCCACTAGTACTGCGCGAGGACGTAGCTGGTGACTGGTGACGACAGGTAGTGGTCTATGGCCAAGGTCAAGCCATTGTCCGTGGAGTGTTGTGGCCGGTACACAAACTGATTGGAGGGCAGAAGTGAATGGGTTGATAAGAAGTCACATAGGCGTTTGTGGTCTATCTTCTCCAAGATCCTCCATACTATTGGCAGCAAAGATATAGGATGGGAATAAAAGATGCGTACTTGTATGCTGAGGAAGCTGTCTGCGGAAGACCTAGGTCCTGGAGTTCATTCTTTTTGCTTCAAGTATTAAAATTGTGGAATACATTCAGGATCCCTACGGTAAGATTACGACTACTGGCGTTGTTGTGGTTCAATAAAGGGGAGTAATTTGACGGCTGTGGTCTAGTATGAAACGGGACTGCATTAGGGTATTATCTATTGTGATGGTGAATTCCGGCAGAAATTGGAATTAGTTGGCGACTTTACACTAGTCGAACACATGCAGGAGCTTGTGACTAGAGAAAATGATGATGCATGAATTCTATTTTGCTAAAATAAAAAAATGAGCCATGTTAGACATTCGGTGAATTATCATGGGGAGCTTAGTGTTCGAAATGCTAAAGAACTCTAGTATGCAGTTTTGCTTTTTCCGGGGGGGGGGGGGGGGAGTCGGCACAAAACGCCGACTCCTGTTCACACTCGAAATGCAGCCGTATAGTCCGTTTACGTCACGTCGGAATTCTACTTTACTCTTCCCGGGGAATTGTGTGTTGCTCCGTAAGTGTGAGCTTGCGCTATTCCTGCCGACTTGAATTCTCACTTGACTGACTCACGACTACCATCCAGAGCACACGAGAAGCGCACGAGAAGACCAAAACGTCCAAGGAAAACTGGCTGTACTATCATAGTGATCAGGTCAAATTGTCAACCGATATGCTTCACGAATTCACAAATAAGTTGTTTTCACTATCAATTTCTGTATTCTTTGTCCTATACGTGCAGCAACGCTATCAACTCAGGCCTCGTTTGGACGTGTCATATATAGACGCTGCCATAAACCTGGAAATTGTCACCGGTGTGGCCAGCTTGCATCATAGCCATTGCATCGATACTATGCGTTGCATTTACGGCAGCCATGTGGATGTTGCTTTGGTCGGCAGAGCAAAGAAGCAGTCGATTATCACACTGTCGTGCCTAGAGTTGATGCTGCCAGCACAGCTGAGTGATACCACTAGCTGGGACAGCGCTGGCCTGTTCAAGTCACTCGCCGAAAGCCATTTACTACATGCTCTAGAAGATCGTGAATTCCTACCAAACCTTTTGCTGAAGGATGTCGACCGAAAACTTGAGGAGATGGAAGAAGAAGAATTTGATGACTTCAACTTTGAACCAATGCAGTACCTGTTTAAAGATGTCACAGATTTGTTCATGAGAGACGGATCGGAGCAAACGTGTCAAGAAGTGATTATCAACTCGATGGAACCACTTATTGCGAGGTTGACCAATTACATGCCTTACGTTAACCGCTCGCGGAGGCTTGGGGAAATTGCGCATTCGTTGCATGATTTAGCCCAGACAGACGCAACTTTGTTATCAGCTCTGGGACTTGAAGATCTCAACGCAATTCCTCTTCCGGATGATGATGATGATGATGATGATGATGATGAGTGGACGGACTCGTATAACCCTTACTACCATTGTGATATCCACTATAGCGACAATTACAATCTGGGCGAAGAAATGGATAAGTCCCGATCATTGATCGACATGGCCGCCAAGCTCTCAGAAAAGCACTCAGTTCTGAGGCTGCTGATAATGGGTAGGCTAAAGACATTGAATCCCGAGAATTACTTCATGGCTCTCAACGAATATGAACAATTCTGGAATAGTTTGTCTGAGTCAAGTCGCCCCAGTCGTAAAGTACTATGCAGCGGCTTGGGAAGCCATCTACTTTCGTCAATATCAGGATTGCCTGATCAGAAGCTGTGGACGAAACTGGAGCTAGTGGACGCCATGAAGAACTATGGAAAAGAACTAGTTTTCCTTGCGCAAGAAGAGCTACCGCTTTCTGAGAAGCAAAGAAGACCAGAATGTGGGCAAGATGACGAAAAGAAAGAAGACGAAGAACGCCCATGAGAATGATCACACCGACACACACGCGCACGCAGACACACCAACTCACGTATAAACATGGACGTACATTTGACACCTCACACTACCTTGTATATTGCAATGTTATGCATCTTTAACTTCGTGATTGTATACCTCCTTATTTTGATAGTCCACTTCACCCGTCCTTGTTAACAGTGTTAGTCACGGTTTGTTCTTACCTTTCCAAGTATTCAATGATGATGATTGACTGTTATATGTTTCGCCGACCGAGCGGGGCAAATGAGGCGAGAAATGATTTCTCGCGCAACAAAATTATTTTTCTTGCGAATATGGAATCTGATGTTTTCTCGTTTTGTTGCTGTTCTGTTTTGCTTGACTCCTTCAGTCAGTTTTTTTTGTGTCTCACCAGTGTCCCCACCCTCCCGCACTTCATGTCTGCCCATCTTCTTCCATTTCTTTCTTGGCTGTTGATGTGTAGTGGCTATTTTTATGCTGCCATGTTGCCACTTGGGGTTATAGTTATACACCCGGTTTTTTCCTTCATTCGTGCGTCCGTCGGCGCGAGGGTTTTTTCCCGGCTGGCTCGGTCCAGAGAAATTAATCTGACGGCCCCAAGTGGTGCTTGTTCTGGTTTATCCCTGTTGTTGCTCCTAGTTTTCTTTTCCATTCCGGTTCACATCTGGCTCCGGCCTACTACACTCACTCTGTGTGCTCCTGCCTCTGTTGTCTGGGTCCATGTCATTATGTCAGTGCATGTGGAGCGAGAAACATCCTTCTTGTCCTCTTTTTTGTCTGTTCTAGTTTTTTGCCATGATTGTACTAAGTTTACGAAGTAGTGGTTGCGACTTCGGCGATGATTTGTCAGAAAGGTTTGCTCCCCACACCGAAGTAAAGTCGGCGGAATAGCGCGAGCTCCGGTGTGGGGAGCAAACCTTTCTGTACTAAGTTTATCATAATAATTATTAGTACTTCAAATACATTTGGAATTACATGTAACGATCGATTGCAGGAGCAAGTCTATCCACAACATGTTTTAATTTTTGGAATTTGGTTGAGTTTTACTTAGTACAGCACATGAATGATGATAATTTATGATACTCTTTGTTGGCTTAGTACAGTGGCCACCGTACTTGAGGAAGTCAGTTGTGAAACAAAAATAATGCAACTACAGCGTGTAGACAATCTGACGACCAAAGCACAACATAGCAAACATGACATTTGCCCAAGGATTGCAGTTTGCAGACCACGCCATGGAAGCAGCGAATACAGAATGTAATATCATACAAAGTGACAAGCAAGGAAGTGGCCATCATACACCAGAAACTTGCAGAAAGTCACACATCCAACAGATAGAGAAGTGAACAGCAATCTGATACAGCCCACACAGGACAAAGCTGACCTGATACTCGTCCTAGGATCGCAAGTGGCAAATCCTTTTCAATGTATATCATGCAGGTTTACGTTAGACACATGGACGACATCTGACCGTGTCGCCAGCATACAATGTCATCACATGTTTACCCCACAAGTTGCACACATGTACAGTAGAAGCACAATGAAAGCAATGGAAAAGTACGATGTGGTTGCTGATGCATCTTCACACTTCAAATTCAGACTTCAATGTGGTCGTCACGGGATGATATACCTGCAAGATACAAGTGATGAAGAAAGAAAGCAGAAGGTCGTGAGGTAGGCTATGAGTAGCCCTTTCCCAAAGATGCCATAGTTTTTCGCAACTTATGCTTTTCGCAACCGTGCCAAAACAAGTGCTAGTTGCTGAAATCGCATCCATATTTTCAGAAAAAGCTCAAAAGTTGCCAATATCGCAACTCAAAATTGGAGAGTTCTTCTTGTGCAAAACCTACAGAACAGGGAGCAGAAATAGCAGAAATGCAGCGACGCTGCGACAGCGAACTCGTACACCCCTTCCTGCTGTGAACCACCACTTTACACATTGCCAGTAGCCTGTTGCATGTATCCTACATGTACATCATTACAGTGCACGGAAAAGGGAATGTACATAATTATCATAACTACCGTTGATCTACTGTTTCTCAGAAATGAGCCTGAAGGCAGGCGAGAAATGAGCAAGCACGAGTATGTATTTGTCCAACAATGCAACATGTAGTCGGTGACTTGACCTTTTGACCCCATGCCATGGGCCAATTGCGCCAAGGTTGCGGAGAAGTTGCCAAATAGTTCCGGAAAATGAAGAAAGTTGCGAAAGCTGCGATTTCTTCCTAAACAACGAAAAGTTCCAAAAAAGTGGCCAGCATCTTTGGGAAAGGGCTAGCTATGAGACACCACAAACGGGTCACCTACATGTATGTTCAGGGCTAGTGCACTCACACGCAGAATTGTCATAATCGAGCATTTCCCAAACTGAGAAGTGCAATGAAATCCACTTGCATGCACAGGAGCAATTTTGCAATATTATGATGCGCAATTCGACAGGATCTGCGATGCTGGGTGCGATGTGCCCTGCTGTCATGATGGTGACAGTCACTGTGGTATGTTTTGTCAACGTCGCCCGTGCACTCTTCTGTCAAGTCCAAAGTGCTCACATACTTGGCAACGTCTTTGCAGTGATTTACTTTTATCCTAGTTATGTCACGGTAACTTTAATTAAGTACCCACAGGCCGTGTCGATCCGCACATCGTCCACTCTCTCATGTACTTGGCCTGCTTTGTCTGTGTATCCATTTCATGTGCGATCCACAAAATCGACAAGACAGTGGGTGAAATACGCTCTCTATCTGAAGATGTTCTTTTGGCGACATCTCGCCATGTACTTGGCCTGCTTTGTCTGTGTATCCATTTTCATGTGCGATCAACAAAATCTCAATGCACTACAGACTAGACAGTGGGTGCAATACGCTCTCTATCTGAAGACGTGAACCATTTTAAAATGTTTTTGGAAAAGTTATACGTACACCTGAAACGTAATGAAGTACAGGAATAGAGAGAGTGACTACAATACGCTCTCGACCTGATATAGTGATAACGTGTTAGAAGGTAACAGGTCTACAGTCCCACCGTACCCTTCCGACACGACTGTGGACCATTAAATTTTTTGACCTGATAACGTGAGTACAAGACACTCTCCACCTGATAACGTGTTAGTAGAAGGTAACTGGCAACATATCAATGGGTTGCCTTACCGGAGTCTAGAGGAGACGTGAGTACAAGACACTCTCCACCTAATAACGTGTTAGTAGAAGGTAACTGGCAACATATCAATGGGTTGTCTTACCGTGGTCTGGAGGAGACGTCTTCGCAGCAATATTTTCCCTCCTGCACATTCAGTCGCCGACGCGACAGCGTTTACTGGGCCGTTCCAGTTGCGGAAGACATTCGATTCATCGGGCCAATTCAGCAACAGGGCTGTGGACACACAGGGGGCAGAGGAGAGACATTGTTAGTGGGCAAGAAATATGCAGCGGCAAGTGGCGAGTGCCGCATGGATGTCAAGTTGTCATGCACAATTCAGCTATTACTTACGGTCCAGCTAGTCCTGCCATTGCTCGCTCGTCCTGGTTCCTCCTCGTTCGTCTTCCTGCACGTCTGCACTTCTCCTTCCCCACCGTTGGCTTTGCGGTACGGGGCTGCCGGAAGGAATTCCCACCATGTATCCATGTACATGAAGTCCCACCATGTCTCCATGTACATGTCCACGGCCACGTCAGCAGTTTGTATAGTACCGGAAGGAGTTCCAACGATGTCTCCAAAGGCCTAGAGCGGACGTCTTTGCAGCAATTCTTTTCGCCCTGCGCATTCAGTCCGCCGACGGTGTCTCCAAAGGCCTAGAGGGGACGTCTTTGCAGCAATTCTTTTCACCCTGCACATTCACTCCGCCGACACGACAGCGTTTACGGGGCCGTTCCAGGTGCAAAAGGTCCACGTCAGCAGTTCTCAACTATTTCGCGTACAGGATAGTCGCCGCGACAGCGTTTAAGGGGTCGTTCCAGGTGCAAAAGGCATCCATCAATGGCACTTTGCAGTACGGGGTACGGAAAGGGGCCTCCTCGTTCGACTTCGTCGACTTCTGCAGTTCTCCTTCCCGTCAGGGGTACCGAAAGGGGCCTCCTCGCAGTTGTCCTTGCCGTCAGGTCTACGTCATGCAGTTCTCAACTATTTCGCGTACGGGATAGTCGTCTTTGTCGTACGCGACATCGGCGTTTACCGAGTGTCATTGGCACAAAGCAGACCGTTGACGGGGTCACGTGTCAAAAAAGTATCAACAATGTGTCGACTACGTGTCGACCAAGTGTATAGCGGTACACTCAGCGGTACACTAATTCTCGTGCCATTCTCGTGTCACAAAACTGGAACATCGAGTACCAGTATGGAAAAGGCTTCAGACAGGAAGCCTTTCCAATGAATCGAAGGAAACTGGTCAACTCAGAGATCACCCGTCATTGAGTATTCCGTAAAAGGAGGCCTCGACAGCAGAAAAGCTAAATTTAGAAAAGAAGTCCTGTCAGCTTTTCCATTATTTATTCTATTCCACCTAAAATCAGCACACTTTTTCGTAAATGAAAGAGTCAACACAAGAAAATGAATCAAAGGGAACTGGTCAACTCACCTGTCATTAGTAAGTAATATTCCGTGAAAGGAGGTCTCAGCAGAGCCGAAGCGAAATAAGCCAGGAGACGAAATATCCGAAACAGCTCATGCAAGAAGCAGTTCCAAAGAAGGAAGTTCCTCGCGCATGCACATCCGAAAACGGACTGCTCTGCATGCAACACAATGTCTGCCGTGCACGTGCACAGCACGCGGCTAGCACGCTTTGGTAGATCTTTTTTTTTATTAGGGCTTGAAAGTGATGACGTCAAAAACGGCCAGGGAGTAGTAAGTTGACATCAGATTTCTATTTTGGATCCACTCAGGTGTGACTTTGCTATTGCCTCAGTATGTGGGTGAATAGCAACCCACTCATGTCGTATTAGTCCATCGGCCAAGTCTCAAAATCGAAAGTGGTGATGCACTGAGCTTCCAACTAAACGCGACCATACCCAGCACGTAGAGAATATATCAGAGAACACTATTCCGTTTGTTGGACGTGCCGAATTCAGTCCAGGGCGTCGATACGAAGCGTTCTTCGTCGCCGAGTTTTTTACTGTGCGCTCCATTTGAGAGTGCGCAGAGTTCTGATCGAGAGTTTTTTGAGCAGATTTTCAAATTAATTATTTTTGAGGCTGTCAGCTGACAGCTGTCAACCCTAAATGGCACTTAGTATGTGACAGGCAATAGGTTTTGGTGCCTCCGTATGCCTTCTAATAAGTTCTATCTTCCTTCGTTTCACTTCGCCCACCACCTCAGGAGATGACAGCGTACCTGCACTAGTCAGCTCTCGCTAACCCTGTCTCTCTTTCTCCGTCTTAGCGCTCGTCATTCGTGTCCTACTGCTGGGGCGAGCTTGATACTGTTGTGTCGTAGTTTTTAGGCAATAGTGGCTGTTGTTCGCGTGACGATCAGGATTTATGGAGAAAGACGACGACTCGTCAAGTTCCCATGCAGCCACAGACGGCGTAGCAATTCTTACCGCCAACCCTTCGAGCAACGGAACCGACCTGAGTTGGAAATCGTGTCTGTGTAATTGTGCAACGATACGGATGAAACACACAGGCTCACATGTGACGAGATGAAGATAATCTCAACAGGCTGACGGAAATCCAACAGGCTCACGGGAACGCTGCAGTTATGGTCGGAGACGCGGAGTTATTTAGTCACTGGTAAATGTTGCATCGAGTGCTGTGTGCTCTAACACAATTGTAAAAATCATGAAAAAGCGAAAATAATGCAATGGTGGGGCTGAGTGGTGTTCTGTGGAGGAGACGTCGCTGTCTCAGTATTCAACGCCGGACCCTGTATTTCAAGTCTGTGGTCATGCTCGATCATAATTTCCTGTATGGCTCCAGTGCCTTCTCAGCATTGTTGGCGGGTAAGCACCTGGATCGTGTCCAAGTACTGCGGCTCTGGTGGCTTGAGGGATGTACGGGTGCTCGCCGTGCACCCCTGCCGGCAATCTGCTAGTGAAGCTTGGTACCTACTGTGTCCGGGAGATTTTCATCCAGAAGCTGATCTTCCTAGGCTGGAGCTGCTGCTACTCCTGTGCTAGCCCTCAACCACTGGCGCTCCTACTCGGCTCCAGTGTGGGCCATTAACCACCCTGCCCGATTTCGCACTGTTGCTATTCCACACCGTCAGCATTTAACTCTGAGGTCAGACCTTGATCCCTCCCACCATATGCTATCTGTCTGTCTGCCTCTCTCTCACACACAGATGTGCGCGCATACATACAAACACACATGCACACACAGTGACACAAACATACACATAGCCAACTTCTCTGTGTTTGGTGATCATCATCTGTTTTCTGATGTGCAAGCTCACCTCTGATGCCGATTACTTCCTTGCTTAGACCCGGTCTGCTATAAGACCAGTCTGCTCTCCCTTCACTGGCTTGTAAATCCTACTTGGAGCAGTAAGGTTGTGTCACTGCTCCTACTGATGTCATTGTTGTGAAAGCAATATGATCGCCATTGGTGGTAATTTTCCACCGTGCATGAATCATTAACAACCATCATCTATGTGTCACGACCTAACCATCCTCGTAACTCCCCTCATCGTGACTAGTGCTGTACCGTTGAAACCTACTTTGCTTCAGTGTATATTTGCTCCAAAGCTCTTGTTTTGTTGCATAGTGATCTGACGCAGTGTGCTATAGCCTATCGGGTAATATGGATAAGATTAGGCCAAGTAAAAAAAAATCCTAGTTTAGATTAGTACAGTCGGCATCGCCTATCGAGTGACCAGGTACATGTATAAGGATACTAGTACATGTATACCGGCTTAACGATATCGGAACACAAATAGCACTATGTGTGCAATATTCCTTTCTAAGCTCACGCTGTGCGGTGCAGATAGGTCATGTGTCGATGCCAACTTGCCGCATGTGCATGTGCAGCAGGAAGGCACCACATGTCGACTACTACTTATACTGTACAGCATTGTGTGCTTACATGCATCTACGGCCTTGTGGATGCAATTGAGTCTCACATACATGTACATGAAATATTGCGTGTAGTGCGGCATCAGTTAACATACAGTGGCTAAATATTTTTTCTCGCAATAATGACCGTATTCACCACAAGTGTGTTTATGTCCAGAGCCAACTCAAGTCCTGTGTTATTTATGACCATGACAACAAGATTTCCGGGCTGAAATTCTTCTATGACAGGCATGAACACTTGCCTTACAATTGTTCGTGATTGTACGAAGTACATATTCGCTGTTGCATCAATTTTGCACCATTTACATTGTAGTGCCACTAGTGGTATCACCTGCATGCGTATTGAGTCAAACAAGGTTACCTCTGTATAATTATGCTTATCGTGGCTATCAAGAGCTTCGATGCAAATTCCCAGCTGACGAATGGTGTCCAGCTTGTGTTCAGCTCAGCTGGCACTCACAACTCATAATAATTGCGTTCTAGACGCCAGATGAGATGTTTCAGTTACAATGTAGACAAAACGTCCGTGTTCAAGAAAGCCGTCACTTCATCTTCTGTCCATCCTCAATAGCACGTTCAAGCAAATACGTCTGAAACACAGTAGCGACAATCCGACAGCGGCGACACACCGTCTTCTCCGAATGAGCTTCTACCGTTCTAATTCAGATTCCCCCAAAAATGTCAAAATAAATAATAGATTTCCACCAAGCTCGCTAGAATCTTGCGAAACGTCAACATGCAGGCATTTCAAGTGTTCGAGCGTGCGTAGATTCTGCTCAGCGGCTCAAGAACATTCGCCAAGCGAAAAAAAGTCGAAGAGAAAGATGTAATGGTGGACGAAATTACAAAAATCGGAAGAAGGTATTCGACCCAGTTCGACTATCCTGGACTGGATTGGCAACGTCCAACAATCGGATTCGTATTCTATGGGGTCTCATGAGCTAGTGTGCCAAAGGGCGTTTAGTTGGAGCTTCAGTGCATCACCTTCGCCGAAAGAGGCCCTTTCTGAGATTTGGCCGATGGACTATATGCAGGGGAGACTTTTACTTCGCCACCAGTTGTAACCCCGCCCCAAGTAGCCAAATCAGTCAGTTCACTGGTTACACCACCTTGCTGTGAGTAAGACGGCTTGAAATGTGCTTGGATCCATACAAAAACTGGATCCAAGTGTATCCAATTTTTGAATTTTTGAAATTGTTGCTATGCTGTGACGTAGCACTTTCAAGCCCTCTACCGAGCACCTTACGTACATGTAGATACTTACGTAGCCTAAGTGAAATACCGAGCACCTTACGTAGAAACTTACGTAGCATAGCGATGTCGTTTTTTCTGCCATGTGAACACAATAATAGAAAAGCTGACAGGATCGCTTTTCTAAATGTAAACGCGCCATTCATTTTGTGCACATGGCGGGTTGAAATCTGACCCGGGTTGAAACGCCTCATGTAAACACAGCCCAAGAGAAATTGTACAGTAGCACTGCAAGGAAAGCTGCCTCACCAACAGGCACACACACCAGCACGGACGGCAGTACACGTACTACTACAAGACGTAGTACCCCTACGGCCAGACCTGACCTGCCCGCCAAGCCTCAAACGCAAGATACAAGCACAAGCAACAATGGGTGGCAAAACCCACACCGCCGCCGCCGCACTGAGGTAACGGTTGCACACTGACCAGGCTGAATCTGAACAATGCGTAAACCAACACCTCAACTATTTACTTGACCCTAACGCAACGCCCTCGGTTTTCCGGCTCTACACAATCACAACGTCATATACCTGATATACCGGTACAATCAAGAGTACAGAGACATGACTGTACTCTTGGAACAATGCATAAGGTTGCATGCCAGCATTATCCCTGCACCCCCGGCCCCTACCTAGAAGTACTTTTCAGCCAAAGTAGCCCCTTTTGACCTTTCGCCTTCCACGCTCTTTCCCGATTCGTAGTACGTGTACTTTCGCTGTCTGCATATAAAAGCTGCCGGGTTATCGGAGTCTGTTCACATTATTATTTCGTGCTTTCCTTCCTTAGTTTCTTACTCAATGCTGCCGATACAGTCCAGTAACGTTACATGTCCCGTTGTCCTATCTGTGAGCCAGGTGAGTAAGCCGTCATGTAAACACAATGGCGACGCATTTTGTTCAGGAAATTGTGTTTAGAAGCAAATGCAGGTCTTTTGTAACTTTTCCCTGGAATAATCATCTCTCTTTGTTTCGGTGTCCCTGAGTCTTTCTGCTCTTGGTTGTCTAGCATTCTTGCACCGGAGAAATTTCAATACAATACACCTATTCCTTGCTCTATTCGTGTTGTGCCTCCTTAATCGCTCGGCTTCCACCTACATTAGTTATCGTGAGTTGTGCAGTGACTGGGTACACTGCAATTGTGCTTCTGGCTCGTCGTAGATCTACATGTCAAGCGTATCGCTCCAAGTATTTGCGAAGTAAGCCAGGCAGACCACACAAGGCAACGGACAAGGTAGAAAAGAACAAGAAGACCAAGAACCCCGGTAAATCCAATCCTTACCAGGTAAGCCCATCAGATATCTACTCAAACTCACCATAATGAACACCAATGCCTTTATCATCCCTGGATTCCTTGACCATAATACTACTAGTACTGCACCCCACCCCTACCGTTTCTTGTTCCATTCACAATGTCACGAACATCAGTCGTGATCATTTTATGTGCCCCTTTTTTGGCACCAAGCGATTCCCTTTTGTATGCACCTAGCCATTTCTGGTTGTTCTGCAGCTAGCAGTGTGCTCTACTTGCTCTCTGTTGTATGCATCTACCCGTTTCTGGCTGCCGTGCATGTCGCGGTGTGCTCCCCTTTCTGCGCATGTAACCATTTCTGGCTACCATGCATGTCGCGGTGTGCTCCCCTTTCTGAGCATGTATCCGTTTCTGGCTGCTACAGCTCGCGTTGCGCTTCCCTTGCTCTCCTATGTGTACACACGTCCATTTCTGGCTGTACCCGCATGCCTATTTCTGCCTTCGCGCTGACCCCTGAGGAATCGCTTGAGCCTAGTATGGATCCAGTGATCCGAATGTAGCGTCGTTCCCAGCAAGAACTTGCCGACTTTATATTTTGTTGCTCTACAAGCAGCTTTTCGCGAGTCTTCTTCGTGTCTCTTCTTAAAGTAGAGACCAGTTTTTTCTGCTCTAATCAGTAGCTCAGAGCTACATCAATAGCAATAATAAAACCTTATAAAAGACCAAAAAAACTCTTGTCGCTGCGATGACAACGACGACACACAATCTCTTCATATTTGAGTTTCAAAGTTTGCAGCTTGTTCATCAAAATGGACGAGATTGCACAGATCACCACTTGGGCAAATCTCCTCGAGCCAGATTCCCTATACCAACTCCCCGACTACTCTCTAAATAGGTACGATCGGCAGCAGGCGATGCCATATGCCTACTTGGCATGTCAAAGGCTTTTGAAAAAGTCAGTCACCCTACGCTGCTGGAGTACCTGCTCGACATTGGCGGTTCTGGAACGGAATTTAAAATTTGCTTTGCCAACTACAGTATCTCTGCCATCGAACCCAGAAAATGCGCATTGCAACCAAGGACGGACCCTGTTTTTTTTCTACTTCACTATTATATTTTATTACTTTACTTGGGCATTCCCAACAGACATGATCCGCTGTAGCACATACTCCACTTTTATGTTTATGTATCTATGTCATTCGGATTTTCCAAGTTGTACAATGTACTGTTGAGATACCGAATTCAAATAAATCAATACCATACCATACCATACCCTAAGGTCTTCCTACAGGGTGCCCAAGATGAATGAATGTGTTAAAAGTTCCTGGCGAAATGAATAATTGGAGATAGGATTTGTGCGAAGGGATTCCGTCGGGAAGCGCATTGAAGCGGTCAGCACCAAGGAATGAAATAGATTTGTATCCAGCTTGAGTTTTCACAATGGGTAAAGAAAGGGAATTATTGCCTTTGCCTCGGGTGACTCTATCTGTGTGAGCGAAGTCACCGCGAAGGGAGAACATGTCAGAGAGGAGTAAACTGCAGATGCCAGGGAGATTTTTGTCCCACGTACTACGTATGTGTTTTACGTGTGTGTATCACGTGATACCGACCTATGGGGATAGGAGAAGTCCTGCGGCGCATCATTGGTAAATCCATGAAGACACTCCTCATGGATGACATCACTACCGCTGCTGGGGCGTCCCAACTTTGTGCAGGACACCCTCAGGAAGTGAAGCGGCTATCCATGCCCTGAGACAAGTTTTTACCTCTTTCTTATCTAGCCGCCGACCGCTGGAACTCAGTTCCGGCATCGGTCCGCCTTGCTGCTTCACCGAGCCAATTTCTTATTGCAATCCTAGATTGGCTAGGGTACCCCGTAAGGAGACCATAGGTCTGTGGGGACTGCCCTAGAAAAATATGAATACATAATTATGCACTTCCTTTTTTTTTGTTCACACTTTAAATTATGCTGTTATAAAAGGTTCTATTTTGTACACAGTACCCTCAGTTCCGATACTATTCACTGATAAGCAGAACACGAAAATCGATTTTGAATAACATAAAAATCCTTAAAAATTTCCATGAACTCGTTGTCTGGCCATGTCTGCATCGATTATACTCTTAATTGCACTAATAAAATACTTTAGTATATATGCTATACGTGCCATGAAAAAAATAATAATAATGATGACAACAAACAGGAAGAAGAAGCACAATCAACAAGAGAACCGACAAGTTAGAGAGCTCTGCATAACGCAAACAGCAAAGGCGATACCAACCACGAGAGTGCTAAACTTCTATGAACAGGAGCGAAATACTCAATCCAGGGACAGAACTGCTTCGTCATTCGTAGACTCATCAGCGCAGCAAAGAGAAAATGAGGCCGGACCTGATTTGAATTGAAAATACAATTTTCAAAGCCAGATTTAAACCAGGTCCGAACGTACCTTACCAGAGTGCTCAAACTGAAAAGTCAGCGAGCTATGCATAACGCAAACAGCAAAGGCACTACCTGCATGAGGGTGGTCAACTACTAAAAGAGCAGGAGTGAAATCCTTATTTGGTGGAGAGAACTGTTTCGCTCTTTGTGGACTAATCAGTGCAGCACAAAGAATCTTCTATCTTCTAAGGCGGCAAAAAAAGATACAAACATGACTGGGACGATTAAATATTTGCCTATAAATATCACGATCATTAGCAGCAGCAAGAGAGACAGAAAGACAGAGAGACAGAGAGACAGAGAGACAGAGAGAGAGACAGAGACAGAGAGACAGAGAAAGACAGAGAGAGACAGAGAGAGAGAGAGAGAGAGAGAGAGAGAGAGAGAGAGAGAGAGAGAGAGAGAGAGAGAGAGAGAGAGAGAGAGAGAGAGAGAGAGAGAGAGAGAGAGAGAGAGGGAGAGAGAAAGAGAGAGAGATGTCTGTATGATTGATGAGTCCAGTTTTGTTTTGTAATTTTAGACCATATACGATGAACTCGTATGGTGAGCCAAGGTTCAATTTATAGAAAGGAAAAGAAAAGTGGACATAATAGCGTAACGTTTAGTTCCTTCGTCCTTTTTCTTTTCTGTACATTTATGATGAGGACGGCTGTAGGATTTTGATCCAGGAAACATTCCATCCAAAAAATAGTGCGAGGGCTTGTAGTGATGGTTTGCTGATGCAACTATATGATACTATCGACCAGCTATTCTTTATTGATAAAGTATGTTTCTATATGCCTGGCTGCTTTTATGTTTGCCATTGTGCATGTGTTCCTCTTCATGTGTGTGTGTGCGTGAGTGTGTGTGGGTATGTGTGTGTTTGTTGGTTGTGCGGACGTTCAGGTCATTCCGTTGAGGACCGGGAATACAAGGCCAGGCTTCTGAGCAAACCTTGGCAACGGACGGTCAACAGCATATTGACTATTGATACCACTTCAAGGGAATTAACGTCAGCCGCGTGTAGAATGGAGAGTGCTGTATTCAACGTGTGGCCAGGCCATTTACTGCCCTTATTGTCCTTGCGGGACATCATCCAGCTGTGTGGAACCTCCAAGCATTTGAAGGCGCTGCTAATCGATGAAAACATGTTTAGCATTCTATGTCGGGTAAGTAGTTTGTTTACTTGATATTTTAAATTAGATCAAAACCAAGTGGGCATTGATGTCCAATAATTATTATAATGGCGATACAATAAAAAAAAATGAAACGTGTCCTGAGAAAATGAGAGAGAAGTAAAGGAGAAATGCATGTACCTTTAAGTATTAAAATTGTGGAATACATTCAGGGTCCCTACGGTAAGATTACGACTACTGGCGTTGTTGTGGTTCAATAAAGGGGAGTAATTTGACGGCTGTGGTCTAGTATGAAATGGGACTGCATTAGGGTATCGTCTATTGTGATGGTGAATTCCGGCAGAAATTGGAATTAGTTGGCGACTTTACACTAGTCGAACACATGCAGGAGCTTGTGACTAGAGAAAATGATGATGCATGAATTCTATTTTGCTAAAATAAAAAAAAATGAGCCATGTTAGACATTCGGTGAATTATCATGGGGAGCTTAGTGTTCGAAATGCTAAAGAACTCTAGTATGCAGTTTTGCTTTTTCCGGGGGGGGGGGGGAGTCGGCACACAACGCCGTCTCCTGTTCACACTCGAAATGCAGCCGTATAGTCCGTTTACGTCACGTCGGAATTCTACTTTACTCTTCCCGGGGAATTGTGTGTTGCTCCGTAAGCGTGAGCTTGCGCTATTCCTGCCGACTTGAATTCTCACTTGACTGACTCACGACTACCATCCAGAGCACACGAGAAGCGCACGAGAAGACCAAAACGTCCAAGGAAAACTGGCTGTACTATCATAGTGATCAGGTCAAATTGTCAACCGATATGCTTCACGAATTCACAAATAAGTTGTTTTCACTATCAATTTCTGTATTCTTTGTCCTATACGTGCAGCAACGCTATCAACTCAGGCCTCATTTGGACGTGTCATATATAGACGCTGCCATAAACCTGGAAATTGTCACCGGTGTGGCCAGCGTGTATCATAGCCATTGCATCGATACTATGCGTTGCATTTACGGCAGCCATGTGGATGTTGCTTTGGTCGGCAGAGCAAAGAAGCAGTCGATTATCACACTGTCGTGCCTAGAGTTGATGCTGCCAGCACAGCTGAGTGATACCACTAGCTGGGACAGCGCTGGCCTGTTCAAGTCACTCGCCGAAAGCCATTTACTACATGCTCTAGAAGATCGTAAATTCCTCCCAAACCTTTTGCTGAAGGATGTCGACCGAAAACTTGAGGAGATGGAAGAAGAAGAACTTGAAAACTTCAACTTTGAACCAATGCAGTACCTGTTTAGAAATGTCACAGATTTGTTCATGAGAGACGGATCGGAGCAAACGTGTCAAGAAGTGATTATCAACTCGATGGAACCACTTATTGCGAGGATGACCAAATACATGCCTTACGTTAACCGCTCGCGGAGGCTTGTGGAAATTGCGCATTCGTTGCATGATTTAGCCCAGACAGACGCAACTTTGTTATCAGCTCTGGGACTTGAAGATCTCAACGCAATTCCTCTTCCGGATGATGATGATGATGATGATGATGATGATGATGATGATGAGTGGACGGACTCGTATAACCCTTACTACCATTGTGATATCAACTATTGCGACAATTACAATCTGGGCGAAGAAATGGATAAGTCCCGATCATTGATCGACATGGCCGCCAAGCTCTCAGAAAAGCACTCAGTTCTGAGGCTGCTGATAATGGGTAGGCTAAAGACATTGAATCCCGAGAATTACTTCATGGCTCTCAACGAATATGAACAATTCTGGAATAGTTTGTCTGAGTCAAGTCGCCCCAGTCGTAAAGTACTATGCAGCGGCTTGGGAAGCCATCTACTTTCGTCAATATCAGGATTGCCTGATCAGAAGCTGTGGACGAAACTGGAGCTAGTGGACGCCATGAAGAACTATGGAAAAGAACTAGTTTTCCTTGCGCAAGAAGAGCTACCGCTTTCTGAGAAGCAAAGAAGACCAGAATGTGGGCAAGATGACGAAAAGAAAGAAGACGAAGAACGCCCATGAGAATGATCACACCGACACACACGCGCACGCAGACACACCAACTCACGTATAAACATGGACGTACATTTGACACCTCACACTACCTTGTATATTGCAATGTTATGCATCTTTAACTTCGTGATTGTATACCTCCTTATTTTGATAGTCCACTTCACCCGTCCTTGTTAACAGTGTTAGTCACGGTTTGTTCTTACCTTTCCAAGTATTCAATGATGATGATTGACTGTTATATGTTTCGCCGACCGAGCGGGGCAAATGAGGCGAGAAATGATTTCTCGCGCAACAAAATTATTTTTCTTGCGAATATGGAATCTGATGTTTTCTCGTTTTGTTGCTGTTCTGTTTTGCTTGACTCCTTCAGTCAGTTTTTTTTGTGTCTCACCAGTGTCCCCACCCTCCCGCCCTTCATGTCTGCCCATCTTCTTCCATTTCTTTCTTGGCTGTTGATGTGTAGTGGCTATTTTTATGCTGCCATGTTGCCACTTGGGGTTATAGTTATACACCCGGTTTTTTCCTTCATTCGTGCGTCCGTCGGCGCGAGGGTTTTTTCCCGGCTGGCTCGGTCCAGAGAAATTAATCTGACGGCCCCAAGTGGTGCTTGTTCTGGTTTATCCCTGTTGTTGCTCCTAGTTTTCTTTTCCATTCCGGTTCACATCTGGCACCGGCCTACTACACTCACTCTGTGTGCTCCTGCCTCTGTTGTCTGGGTCCATGTCGTTATGTCAGTGCATGTGGAGCGAGAAACATCCTTCTTGTCCTCTTTTTTGTCTGTTCTAGTTTTTTGCCATGATTGTACTAAGTTTACGAAGTAGTGGTTGCGACTTCGGCGATGATTTGTCAGAAAGGTTTGCTCCCCACACCGAAGTAAAGTCGGCGGAATAGCGCGAGCTCCGGTGTGGGGAGCAAACCTTTCTGTACTAAGTTTATCATAATAATTATTAGTACTTCAAATACATTTGGAATTACATGTAACGATCGATTGCAGGAGCAAGTCTATAATAATAATAATAATCTTTATTAGGATGACCCAGAGGCTTGTCGCCTATGAAGGGGTTCACCGCTTTGAAGGATGTACATGCACACGTATGAGCTAAAGTGAAAGTAGTGAAAAGTTGTGCAGCGTGAATGCGTTGGGGAGCACACGGGGGGTTATGTACATGGCGTAGGCATACCGGAGAGCGAAGCACTATGTTTGCAAGTGAGTTTGCGAAGCTCATTCTTGAAAACAATAATGGATGGTTCTGCAGTTAGTCTTGGTGGGAGGCAGTTCCATAAGAGGGAGGTTTGGAAGAGAAACAACGATTTTGATGTGGTCTTTGCTTTAGGGAGAATAGTTTTGTTAGGGCGTCTCGCACTCTGCGTGATATTGAAATGGAATGAAGCTAGGCAACGTCGATACTTGAAAATAAATTTGTGCATGGTAACCAAGCTTAAAAACTGCCTGCGGTAAAGAAGGGATTCAATGTTAGCTTTTTTATTAAGATCCTGCTTGGGTGTATTAAAGTCGATTTGGATTTTGCGTTTCCTAAGGTAGGATCTTGCAAACCTGGCCTGGACTCTATCCAGCTCAGTCAAGTCGCTTGAACGAAGACGAAAGGACCACACTACGACGCTATACTCAATCACAGGTCTAACATAGCACTTGTAGAGGAGCATCATGGCCTGCGGTGTAAGACGATGTGCCATGTGACAAAGTAGGCTTACTCTCTGCTTGAATTTGCGACTGATGTCAAGGTAGTGTTGACGGAAGTTTAGGTCTGCACTGAAGCGAACTCCCAGATGTTTGAGGATGTCAATACTGGGAAGAGGTAGACCCTCCATAGTGTAGGTGGCAGATGTTGGTGCTGGTGATGATGCTGCCACTGGCTTATCCACAACATGTTTTAATTTTTGGAATTTGGTTGAGTTTTACTTAGTACAGCACATGAATGATGATAATTTATGATACTCTTTGTTGGCTTAGTACGGTGGCCACCGTACTTGAGGAAGTCAGTTGTGAAACAAAAATAATGCAACTACAGCGTGTAGACAATCTGACGACCAAAGCACAACATAGCAAACATGACATTTGCCCAAGGATTGCAGTTTGCAGACCACGCCATGGAAGCAGCGAGTACAGAATGTAATATCATACAAAGTGACAAGCAAGGAAGTGGCCATCATACACCAGAAACTTGCAGAAAGTCACACATCCAACAGATAGAGAAGTGAACAGCAATCTGATACAGCCCACACAGGACAAAGCTGACCTGATACTCGTCCTAGGATCGCAAGTGGCAAATCCTTTTCAATGTATATCATGCAGGTTTACGTTAGACACATGGACGACATCTGACCGTGTCGCCAGCATACAATGTCATCACATGTTTACCCCACAAGTTGCACACATGTACAGTAGAAGCACAATGAAAGCAATGGAAAAGTACGATGTGGTTGCTGATGCATCTTCACACTTCAAATTCAGACTTCAATGTGGTCGTCACGGGATGATATACCTGCAAGATACAAGTGATGAAGAAAGAAAGCAGAAGGTCGTGAGGTAGGCTATGAGTAGCCCTTTCCCAAAGATGCCATAGTTTTTCGCAACTTATGCTTTTCGCAACCGTGCCAAAACAAGTGCTAGTTGCTGAAATCGCATCCATATTTTCAGAAAAAGCTCAAAAGTTGCCAATATCGCAACTCAAAATTGGAGAGTTCTTCTTGTGCAAAACCTACAGAACAGGGAGCAGAAATAGCAGAAATGCAGCGATGCTGCGACAGCGAACTCGTACACCCCTTCCTGCTGTGAACCACCACTTTACACATTGCCAGTAGCCTGTTGCATGTATCCTACATGTACATCATTACAGTGCACGGAAAAGGGAATGTACATAATTATCATAACTACCGTTGATCTACTGTTTCTCAGAAATGAGCCTGAAGGCAGGCGAGAAATGAGCAAGCACGAGTATGTATTTGTCCAACAATGCAACATGTAGTCGGTGACTTGACCTTTTGACCCCATGCCATGGGCCAATTGCGCCAAGGTTGCGGAGAAGTTGCCAAATAGTTCCGGAAAATGAAGAAAGTTGCGAAAGCTGCGATTTCTTCCTAAACAACGAAAAGTTCCAAAAAAAGTGGCCAGCATCTTTGGGAAAGGGCTAGCTATGAGACACCACAAACGGGTCACCTACATGTATGTTCAGGGCTAGTGCACTCACACGCAGAATTATCATAATCGAGCATTTCCCAAACTGAGAAGTGCAATGAAATCCACTTGCATGCACAGGAGCAATTTTGCAATATTATGATGCACAATTCGACAGGATCTGCGATGCTGCGTGCGATGTGCCCTGCTGTCATGATGGTGACAGTCACTGTGGTATGTTTTGTCAACGTCGCCCGTGCACTCTTCTGTCAAGTCCAAAGTGCTCACATACTTGGCAACGTCTTTGCAGTGATTTACTTTTTAAGTACCCACAGGCCGTGTCGATCCGCACATCGTCCACTCTCTCATGTACTTGGCCTGCTTTGTCTGTGTATCCATTTCATGTGCGATCCACAAAATCGACAAGACAGTGGGTGCAATACGCTCTCTATCTGAAGACGTTCTTTTGGCGACATCTCGCCATGTACTTGGCCTGCTTTGTCTGTGTATCCATTTTCATGTGCGATCAACAAAATCTCAATGCACTACAGACTAGACAGTGGGTGCAATACGCTCTCTATCTGAAGACGTGAACCATTTTAAAATGTTTTTGGAAAAGTTATACGTACACCTGAAACGTAATGAAGTGCAGGAATAGAGAGAGTGACTACAATACGCTCTCGACCTGATATAGTGATAACGTGTTAGAAGGTAACAGGTCTACAGTCCCACCGTACCCTTCCGACACGACTGTAGACCATTAAATTTTTTTGACCTGATAACGTGAGTACAAGACACTCTCCACCTGATAACGTGTTAGTAAGTTAGAAGGTAACTGGCAACATATCAATGGGTTGCCTTACCGTGGTCTAGAGGAGACGTGAGTACAAGACACTCTCCACCTAATAACGTGTTAGTAGAAGGTAATGTAGTGGTGTTAGTTTACAGGGTGTAATGTATTGCCTTCAAGTACTAATGCTCTGGTGTTGCATTG